GCATAAAATAATCCAAGTTTGCATGAAATACGCTTGAAATCAAAACAGAAGATATTCTTAATCGAGATACTAATGAATATTTTTCTTCTCAACATTTTCTTCTCATATCATAAGCCATACGTAAACATATTCGAGATAGGACCATCGTAACATTTACTTTGAGATTTTGCACAATGAATAGATTGCAGCTAATCTTTCTATTACATACTTGTTTTTCGCAAAACATAATTCTTCTCGATAAAGTAACTACTATAAAGATGAAGTATTTTCAAAGATCTACGATTCACTCCTCGACTGTTAAGTATTGAAAAATCAGAAAGAGCGTGGGTGAAGAGAGCATAAGTATCCACATCCACGTCCTTCTCTGTTACAGTTACCAGTTAATCATAATTTGCTGTTAATTGTATTAGACAAGATAGATAGGTGTTTCACCACCACACCGCCACAACATCACAATAGTGATCTACAATTTGAAATTGGAAGTTCTTTAAGTAGTGGAAAAGATCGTGCAATACGAATGAAGAATTCGTATTTGAAATTAATCGAAATCAAAAAAGTAACATTATTACAATTAATATTTGGAAAAGTATTACCCACCAATTCGAGACGATCAAATAAAAATGGAAATATGCCTTCAAAGATAGGATGGGTGTGGGTGTCTCTTCGCATGGCGCCGACACCGACACCCACACCCATCAAGATAAATATACTTTGATTCGAAAGTAAATTGATCATGAACGAAGTTGAACAAGGGAAGTGAAGTTTTTACTATGGTAATAAAGAATATTGACTATACTATATGTCTGTTGATCATAATACGTTCGATTCCCGTTCCTCAGAACTGGAACTAGATCTGCAACATAATTCAGTATAATCGCTTTGAAAAATTCTCCACATCTACTTCACATCAATTGAATGTCTGCATGATGATTATGATCTACTGTTTGAAGTTACAAATCAGATTCTAGTCGTTATTACGAGTTAATTTATTGTTTCTAACGCTGAAAATATTAACACCAGTTTTCTTTCAATCAAATATATTAAAAAAAACATTATTATGTCTGTCTTTTTATTCAATATAATTGCATCGACATTGATATCCAATGCAATAGTACGATCGATGATATAAAGTGTATGAGTTTTGCATATAGTCGCTCAGATTGGTTCGCAGTCAGTTTTACTGTTCGTTCAGTGAATCCTTCTGCCGTTGTATTTACTCCCCAATGATTTGTAGTTGAATTACCAAATAGTGTATACAATCTTTGATTAACAAGTGGATTCGAATACAACCAATCTATAGCAATTAAATTTTCTTTCGAACTGCATGTGTAATCTATCGTGTCTAAGCGTAAATCCGACTCGTTCTGATATAAGAATTGAACAATAATCTGATCTGTACATGTTGTTGATTCAAATCCACCTTGCTTAGTGTACGACTGTACACTAGTAACATGTGTTAAACCTTTCATTTCGATTAATTTTGTGGGTATATGCTCAGATTGAAATCATATTTGACTTTGTTTTGCAGAATACAGCGGTGAATTGTAATCTAAATCTCCATTTAGTAACAATGCACCGTGTTTTTTCGATCGAAATATTTGTGGATTGACTTGAAATTGTCCCCAATAACGTGGATTTTTCGTGTATAAAATATCAGTGAATTCGGAGGCGATGGTAAAATTGTATTTTGATTGTTGTATTTCACGACATATTGGTACTGGACCTGTAGGTGCCAAATAATATTCATTGATCACGGCACTATTGATACAAAAATCATTGAAAAAACCAACAGTGGTTTTGAAATTTTCTTCTAGAGTAAACCCAACAAAATCGCTCCAGATTGTTGTTATACTTAAAACATTTCCATCATCTGGGTATACATCGGGTGGGTCGACTAAACTTGATGTTAGCGATTGTTCTGTCAAAGCAATCAAAATGGGCAATGCTCGAGATAGAACTCGCTGACCTTCAGTTGAACATCGATATAGACGTGCAATCAGAATAATAGCAAGTGGACGAACACCTCTAAGTTCAATGCTTTGACCAGCGATACGCATCAATGAATTCCAATCATTCAATCCGAGATTGGTTGTACACATAGGATTTGTCAGATTGGTGTGAAAAAGCATTTCTAATGTTAATACAACAGTTATTATATCTTGATCAGTACCAGTGACAAGTGCAAAGGTTTTCGCACAGAATATATCATTCTGACATTTAGATAAATACAAATAGAATCGATGGTTGATTGATTTGATTTGATTTTGAAAAGCATCCGACCTTTTAATCGACATTATTCCATCGAGAATTATTCCGTCGATTGACTGTAAGTGTGAGTTGATTGATTGAATCGATAGATAATATTGAATAATAGCTGTGCCTAATTGGAAAGAAAATATATGGATCACTAATCAATCTTGTTATTAAACTAGACAGTAACATGAAAGTGACATTGAATACACACTAACAACAGTTGTACAAGTGATGGATGTGGGTATGGATGAGAAGATAACAGAAATATTCACTCTCATGCACTCACACCCGACTAATGCTTTAATAAATCAAAGAGGCAGAATATTCGATTAATGAAATTCTTATAGCTTTTGTAGAACGAGATAATTAACACTTTTTCGCATAATCTACTGAATGTTTATATGAGTATTAGAACAAATTTTCACAACCTCATATCACTTTAGTCGAATCTGTCTGTTTCATTAAATGGCTCACATATTCTTTAAAAGATGAAATTCTTCGGTAGCCAATGGAAATAAGGAAATTAGAAACAATTTATTTTACTCTCAACTTTCATTTCGTACCTTGACTGAAACCATAGATATAAGTAGACGTCGGATATATTGACTGTGATTGATTGATTGCATATTGAATTTGATATTGTAAATCTTGAGCAATATTTTGATTTGTCATAGCATGGATTATTTTCAATGAGTCATTGACAGAACTGGGTACTGTTGCTTGAATCAATTCTCTAGCACACTCAATCCATGTCTTTGCAGTATAACAATGAATCGATGGCTTACTCAGACCTGCTCCCCTGTATTGAAATAGATACACTATTGGGTGTGTCTGAGAATATGTTTGATGATACTTATTTTGAATAATTTGTTTCAACATGGAAACACCAAATGGTTCCATTCCGTATTGGGAGCCACCGCCACCGTCTAAAAGCCAATAGTTAATTATGTGTTTGACATTAGAAGTATTTCGTGGTGGTAAATCAGAGAAATATAAACGTTTTATATGTAGATCGGTCAAGGATATTGTCTTAGTCGAATTATAGTGCAATTCATCGAAGGTATTTAGATTAAATTCATTTCATTCGAGTGGACTTGTCAAATACGCCCTAGAGCATGTACTGAACAAAGGGTGCCTGAAAAAGTACCCTGCTACTAGTATGTCTTAGGAACTTTATGGTACTGGAGTACTTAAAAGTACTTTTATGTACCTTTTAGGTACTCAGGTAGGTACCCTGCTGGAAAACAACTAGTAAATGAGTACTTGAAGGTACTGATCAAGTATTCAACTGGATACTATTGCACAGTATGCTTAGGTACCCTGTTACCAAAATTGCAGTACGTTGATGGTCGAACCTAATCTTCGAATTTTTTCATTTTTTTTTCTCTCAAAGCAATTATTAAATTTTTTTCGATATTATTTAATTTAATTTTACCAATCCTGAAAACTCTAGCAGGTCAAATTTTGGGACCTGACCGGGCTTGAGTTGGTCGAATCTCCATCCGACCACTTCAGGGTAGCTCGATCTTAATTTACGATTAAGATCGGCAGGTTCTCCACTAATAAATAGTCAAGAAATAATCTAGAAAAAAAATATGAAAAAAGTTTATTTTCTGTTAGTTCACCGAGTTGTTTATAAGGAGCTGTTCACGCAAAATAAAACGGTGAATGAACAGACGCCACACAGAACGCGATAAATCTAGGGTACCCTTTAGAGCTTTCCTCAGTAAAATTACAGGTGCGAGTACTCATACAAGTACTGCTTCAGCGAAACATACTGCTATGGGTACCCAATGCAGTACCTACAGCAGTCTGGTTACTGAGAATTTTCTAAGTACCATTAATAGGTACCCTGGTGTGGCTTTCTTAGTATGTGGGTACCCTTAACCCAGTACATTCCCGAGGGCATACATTCAGTTTGAATGGTAATATCGTTTTGTATAGTTTTTTTAGGGGATCCATCATTGAATGGACATGAATACCATGCCACAGCAAATGAAAATGAATTTTAAAAGAAGATAAGCTGTAGAGGTTTAGTTATCATGCTAATTTTAACGTATACCTAGTTAATAGATGTAATAAATATATTTGTCTTCGTCCTTATGTAGGCTAATATCATGCATGTATGTTTGTTCTACAGTTAATTATGCTAGCTATTTATTATTTGAAAAGCCTTGGCCAAATAATAAGACTATAATCCAGCAATGAAGAGAATATTAAATATCAATCCGTCCCTGCTATTGTAGCGAAGATAAACATTATGATAATAACACTCGCAGAAAGAGTCAAGGATTAATAATAAGTTGATAATATTTACTTATTTTATACGCATCTTTCGAATATATATGCATTAATCGTCACTAAAACTTGAAAGGATAAAATTTCATATAGCTTTCATATTGAACTCGATTTTCACCCGTAAAAATATAATCTCATGAAATATCACATAAAACAAAATAAAATGATTTCTTGCATTGCTCGACTGGCTGACTTGATAAATTAGAGTGTGGGTGTGATTGAGTCGTGACTGAATGCGAAGGAGTATTCATGATGTCTATTCATTGCTGACTCTTTGTACTTATTTTATATGGAAACAAATTTGATGAAATCAAGTTTAATGATGGACTCAAGAGATATATTTACCTTCATAGGCTACTGAAGATTGCCGAGAATGTGAGCAATAATTGTAAATTGGTTTTGAATGAATAAATCTATATATCATTTTCTTTTTTTTTTACTATGAATATCGATAGGATGAGTGCATACGACTAAGAAATCTGCATTCGTAGTTTATTCTGATTATGAGAGCAATGACATGTCATCGGTCTTTTGTTTGTAGTCACTGGTTATCATTGGAAAGTGTATAAGATAAGATTTTTGTGGGTCTTTGAGCGAATAAACGACACTGAGATTTATTGAATGATAGATAGGTATCAATTTGGTTTAAAGGGTATGTGTCATTTTGAGTATCATTAATGAAGCGAAGGCAGGTGTATATTTTTATTTTGTTAAATTTCATTGAGGATATGACATATTCGTGATATCACTACGATGTATACCTAACAATGTAATATCAACATGGATGTTTATCTATCACTTCAATAAGGTACATTAGATTGTGATTTTATTATGAAAAGGCTAGATTACTGAAAAATATAATTTTAGAGTAGCAGATTCGATTTAGCATTGTTATTAGAAAATATAAGTCAATCTTTATGTCAATGCGAAGTAATGTCAACAGATGCAACACTAGCACTTTGAGAGTACTTCGTAGTTACCATAACCACTGTTTGCAACAATAATATCTATCACATGATCTCCGTTCATGTCTCCGACAGCTAATGCTGATGGGTGAGATTCAAAACCACCTGGAAAAATATATTGACTCGCAAAGCTTCCATTACCATAACCAAGAAAAAGACTAACATCATTAGCACCATAATTGGCAACAGCAATATCTAAGTGAGTGTCGTTATTGAAATCACAAACAACCACCGAATATGGATGAGAACCTTCACCCGTAAAATATGTTGTTTGATTTGAGAGAGTACCGTCGCCGTGTCCAAGACGAATACCTATATTGTTAGAGCCATAATTAGCGACGGCGATATCCAAGAGACTATCGTTATTAAAGTCTGCAATGGCGATTGAGTAAGGATGAGAACCATCACCATTTGAATAGTTCGTTTGCTTTGAGAAAGTGCCGAATCCCGACCCAAGCAATATCATTATATTATCAGTTCCGTTATTGGCAACGGCAATATCTAACCGAGTATCATGATCGAAATCTCCTGAAGCAACGAATACTGGCCGAGAAGAAGATCCAGTTGAATATGCTGGTGCAGTTAAAAACGTTTCCAGAGCATACCCAAGAAATATGCCAATACTCCCTCGATCTCGATTAGCAGCTACAATATCGAGTCGACTGTCATTGTTAAAGTCACCAACGGCAACAGATATTGGAGAGGAAGAATTACCAGTTGAATATGCCATTTGATTGAAAAAGGTACCATTGATACAACCAAGAAGTACACCAATATTATTAGTGCCACTGTTAGCAGTGGCAATATCAGGCCAACTGTCGTTATTAAAATCACCAACGGCGACCCACCATGGTTGAGAATTATTACCCGTCGCAAAAGTCATTTGATTGGAAAACGTTCCATCACCATATCCAAGAAAAATACCTATATTACCAGTACCGAAATTAGCGACCGTAATATCGAGTATTTTATCATTGTTAAAATCACCGATAGCCATTGTAGTTGGTTGACTATTATCACCGGTTGAGTAGATACTTTGATTGAAAAAACTGCCATTACCATACCCCAAAAAAATAACTATATTTTCACTGCCTTGGTTGGTGACAGCGATATCCAGCTTACTGTCGTTATTAAAATCGCCAACAACAACTGAGTTCGGTTTCGAAACAGAGCCGGTTGAATAGGTCGTTCGGTTAGCAAAAGTGCCGTTGCCATAATTGAGAAAAATGCTTATATCGTACGTCCAATAATTGGCCGTGACGATATCGAGTCGACCATCGTTATTGAAATCGCCGACTGCCACCGAAACCGGAACTGAACCAGCGCCTGTTGGATATGTTGTTTGATTAGAAAAAGTCCCATCACCATGACCAAGAAAAATACCTACATTGCCATTAAGAGAGTTAGTAATAATGAGATCTAAATGACCATCGTTATTTACATCACCGATTACAACCGTTTGCGGCAAGGAACCATCGCCAGTGGGATAGGTCATTTGATCAGAGAAAGTACCATTTCCATACCCAAGAAAAATGCCCAGATTATAATTCCAAGAATTTGCGACGACAATATCCAACCGTTGATCGTTGTTAAAGTCTCCAGTGGCGACCGAAAGAGGCTGCGAAGTACCACCAGTTGAATATGTTATTTGCCCTTCGAAGAATCCAGCATCATACCTCAAAATTACAGCCACATTGTCCATCCCAGAATTAGCAACAACGATATCGAGTCGATTATCATTGTTGAAATCACCGGTAGCGATTGATTTTGGGTTAGAACTACTGCCTGTCGGGTAAGTCACAAGTGATGTAAAATTTTTATTTCCAAGTCCAAAAAGTACGCCCACATTGTCGGTAACACTATTAGCGACGGCAATATCCAGTTTATCATCGCCGTTGAAGTCGCCAACAACGACCGACATCGGAAAAGATAACGAGCCAGTGGAATATGTCGTTTGTGATGAAAACGTTGCATTTCCGTACCCAAAAAATACACCGACGCTGTTTGTACCATAGTTGGCGACGGCCATATCAAGTTCTGTATCGTTGTTGAAATCACCGACGACGATAGAATAGGGAAGAGAAGAGGATCCAGTTGAATAAGTTTCCACGCTGATGAAAGTTGGAACATCTACTCCAAGAAATACACCTATGTTGGAAGTGCCAAAATTTGCCACCGTAATATCGAGTCGAATGTCATTATTGAAATCACCGACGGCAGCAGAGTACGGCTGTGAGGATCCTCCAGTTGAATAGATCTCTTGATCAAGAAAAGTGCCATCACCCAATCCAAAAAATATACCTACATTGTTCGTGCCAGAATTTGCGACAACCACATCAAGATTATTGTCGTTGTTGAAATCGCCGATAGTGGTCCAGTATGGTGAGGATCCAAAACCAGTTACAAACAGCGTCATAATGCCAAAACTACCATTGCCATCACCAAGAAATATACCTATACCATTAGTCCAATAAGATGATATAGTGGCTGCAATGTCTAACCGATTATCATTGTTAAAATCGCCGATGCTAACCGAGCTTGAAGTAGCACGAGAACCAGTTGAATAAAGCACCTGGTCGGAAAACGTCCCGTTTCCATGCCCTAAAACTATACCTATATAGGAATAGTCTGAAAGAGCGATAACAATATCAAGGTAATGATCGTTGTTAAAATCACCTATGGCAACCGAATTCGGTGAAGAACTTGAACCAGTGAAGTAGGTCGTCTGTGTGGAAAAAGTTCCATCGCCATAGCCAAGCAAAATACCTATATTGTTTGCATGGTAATTGGCAACGACGATATCAAGTTTATTATCATTGTTCAAGTCTCCAATGGCAACTGAACACGGTTCAGAATTGCTGCCAGTTGAATAGGTTTCACTGTTGGCAAACGTTCCATCGCCATATCCAAGAAGAATACCTATATTCTCAGCACCAAGATTGGCAACGACGATATCAAGTCGCCCATCTAGATTGACGTCAGCAAGGACAACCGAATATGGCGAAGAATAAAAACCTGTTGAGTAAGATGTTTGTCTTGAAAAAGTTCCATCGCCATTACCAAGAAAAACACCTACATTATCAGCCCAACCGTTGGCAACTATGATATCCAGATGACTGTCGTTGTTTAAGTAACCGATGGTAACCGAATTCGGCCCTGAAGCATCGCCAGTTGTGTACGTGACTTGAGGTGAAAAGGTAGCATAGTTGTTTCCGAAAAGAACATCTGCATGATTTGTGCCATAGTTGCTGATCGCAATATCGGATCGATTATCTTTATTGAAATCGCCGATAGCTAATGACAATGGATACGAATTAATGCCAGTTGCAAATTCTCTCTGTATGGCAAAGCTTCCATTGCCGTATCCAAACAGTACACCTACATTGTCCATTCCAGAATTAGCAACCACAATGTCTAATGTAAGGTCATTGTTCAAATCAGCAAGAACTACTGAAAGTGGCGAAGAACTGTTACCAGTGAAATATGTTGTCTGTATCTCAAAAGTACCGTTTGCACGTCCAAAGAGTACACCCACATTATTCGTCCCAGAATTAGCAACGACGATATCTAGCTGTGTGTCATTATTTAAATTGCCAATGGCAATAGAGTATGGATGAGAATTCATACCAGTCGAAAATGTCATTTGAGATGCAAAACTTCCATTTCCGTAACCCAGAAATACACCTACATTGTTAGTACCATAATTGGCAACAGCAACATCTAGATTATTATCTTTATTGAAATCGCCAATGGCTAATGCGAATGGAAGAGAGTCATATTCAGTGGAAAAAGTTATTTCAGATGTAAAATTTCCATCACCGTATCCAAAAAAGATACCGATAGTGTTGGTGCCATAATTGGCAAAGATTATATCAACGTGAGCATCATTGTTGAAATTGCCAACAGTCACATATCGTGGATGAGAAGAGGCAGTGGAAAACGTGAGTTGACTTGTGAAACTTCCATATCCAGTTCCGAGAAAGATGCCGATATTATTCGTGCCAAAATTTGCGACTATGATGTCCACTTGATAATCACTGTTCAAATCACCGACAGCAACTGCGTATGGCATAGAACCTAATCCCGTTGAGTATTTAATTTGAGTTGCAAAAGTTTCATTACCAAACCCAAAAAAAACACCCACATTGTCCGTATTTGAATTGGCAACGGTAAAATCTAACCAATTGTCATTGTTAAAATCAGCAATGGCCACAGAATGTGGATATGAATCAATGTCATTTGGATTTCGAGCTGTTGACTTTAATGTAAACGAACATATGGGAGCTAAACCATATTAAAGAGATTGAATAAAGTTAATTTGATCACTCGCTCATTCATAAGTAACTATGTTAGATGTTATTTATGGTGTCCTCTGAACTCGATAGTAGATTTACTGTGGTATTTGCCTTCACGCTCATGATTTTCTTAAGTACTCTGCTCGCTCGCGTGAGAAACTTAATAAAAATTTAGATAACTGGATTATGTATACAAGGAAGAATCGATCTTATTTTTATTTATTCGTTCATTTCAACATACTTGTTTTTCTTGCAGTGCTAATATAAACCGCAAGAATACCGGTGATCATTGCTACGCTTGTGAATATAGCAACCAGCAAGACACCTTTGATTGAGTGCCATATTGTGGTGTCAGCTGTCGAACTGTGGGTGAGATGACTCATATTTTTTGGATTGTCTTGATTCGTAACCGGATCTGATCTTTGCATTGCATTGCATGTATCGATACAATCAACTTAGGGGATGAATATTCAATTGATATAATATTATCGTCTATGTAGTACTTTCAATATCTAAGAAAAGCAAAAACTAAAATAGTCCTGTAGAGTGATCAGCATTAGTTCGAGTGCAATAAGTAAGACTAGTTACATTCATGTAAGTGGGAGTATTCATATCAATCTATGGCAGTATAGCACGTTGTCAACAAGAGTGACTTTTTAAAATAGCAATAGAGCTTGGGCATTCTGAAAAAAGGTTTTCCGACAGTTTGATGTTGAAAGGATTCTAAATATTTTTAATACCTGGAATTCACTTTTTTCTTTGAAAAATCTATGCTAGTTGGCTTCCAAGAAACACTTTTATTTGGAATATTTTAGATCTTCGAACAAGTGTATGAGAGGATTTCTTGGGAAACAGCATTCCTGTAAACATATTATGGACCTTCAGAGGAGTTTCATAGAATACTTAATCTCGATATGGTATACTGAAGAATTGAAATTCTATTTCTAATTGTCGCCTTCAGTCTTGTTATTTGCTCAGTTGTAAAAATTCTCAGTATAAACTTCTATATCATCAATCATTTGTTTAGAATAAAATGGTATGAAATAAAAGTTTCTAGTACACAGAATCATATTAGGAAAAGTCATTAGATTAAGAGTATGGAATTTCGTCCGGGACTAAAGTTTACTTGCGTAATTCACATGCAAAATTGTACCGCTACAAGCAGTTGATATGGAACAGTTTATAAACTACTATCACGGTTTGGTTCTTTACGGAAACAGTGAAGAAAATTGCAAAAAATCTAAATTAAGCTCTGGTGCGGACTAAAAGCAACATATAATGCATCAGATTTTTACGCAAATACGTTTTCGTTTCATTCGGTTACATATTTTGAGAACATAATATTATACCTATAAAAAAACACCTGGGAAGAGGATTCTAGTCGGGTACGATGCAGATGCTCAAACTCAAAAATATTTTCCGCAAACGCTTAAGCATATATTTTGTAACCATTCAAGTGATCAGTATTGAGTAGTAGTAGTATATGTACTTTTATCTTTAATTTTTTTAGACCTATCCATCACTATTCAAGAACTGAGAAACTGATAGCATTGGCGTAATAATTCCTAGGGGGAAACGAAAGTCGGTCATTCGTTTCCTCGTGAGTAAAAGTCAGCGTGAAGCATTTTCTCGAATAGCTTTCATACTCACACATTGTTATTCACAAGTTTTTTTATTAGAACAAATATGAGAATAAAAAACGTGAATATGGAATTTTTTTAAATTATAGTACAAAGGGAACTGCAGGTGCATTGAGGAAAATTTTTCTTATTTGTAGGTTATTAGACAATCCTCACCTAAAAATGGAAATAAGATAAAATCTTTAATTGACCTATTATTTGGGATTTTTCCTGAAATTTAGATCTGATCGCACATCAAGTCTATCCTTGAAATAGCTCTTGAAAAGCTGTAGTGATTGGTTCGAAATAAGGAAGAAATGTGATCGGAGTCACGTGTGAATAGATCGTGACAAATTATGAAGAACAACTCGAGATATCCATCTAAAATTTATAAGAGCGAATAGGCCTTGCAAAGCTAACAATAAAAGCCCACACTGCTGTTCAATAAAAATCACTTCTATGATTTCAACAGATATTTTTTGATAACAGGAAAATAATATATTCGATCACGTTGTGTTATATGAATGATTTTCAAAAAGTACAAAATACAGCATCTATTTATGGATCATTCATAAGTTATTGATTTCTCTATCCTCCAGTGAGAATGAAAATACCATGGAAGTTAGAAGCATCTTCACCAGCAATGTAACAAGCTCTGATATGATATTACTATATAATTTACGAGGTGCAGATTAAACACAAACAGTTTAACAGTAATTACCGTTAAATATTGTTTAATAGCAATCAGCCTTGAGGCAGAATGAGTGAATGCACTGGTCGCGAATCTACATAAAAACCAAAACAGAAATAAGCACATATATAAAAAATGCATATTTTTCTCTAATTCACTACACGGCTTACGGATACATTAATAACTTTCATTTCATCATAATAGAGGAAAAAAAGCAACTAGCTGAATAGAAGAGCCAGCAGCTTAAAATTGCTTATACGTATATTGTATTATGACTACTGTAGAGCAAAAAGCATCCACGAGGCAGTAGAGCGAATATTTAAGATATTTATCTCATCTTGCATTAACGAAAGCTATTTATGATTTACGTAGCGAGAGAAAAAACATGCATGAGTCATCTCTCACACGCAGAAGCTTGAAGTACTATCAAATCTTGTTTCTTTTATTTGTGACGAATTCTTATTAATGCACTCTACGGACAATAAGTCATATGTTCATTCGTTTTTCATCAACATTTTTTCCATGAGCTAACTCAACTTTGCCAATATTCACGCAAATCATGTAAACTCGATGAATCAAAGACATTTGTATTAACTCCGTGCATAGATTTCAGATATTGGCTGTTTGATATATCTCTGTCACAATATGTGCTACTTTTTTACAATCCAAAACTATAGCTGGTACAACATTGACTTGAACAAATATGGCAATACTTACCAGTAAAACAGCTCGAACTATCTTCTTACGAAAAGATAAATTGAGATCATTTAAAATAGGATTAATAGAGTTAACAATCATGTAATAATGGCCCGTATGCTAGGTCGAAATCTTGATTATTATATAGTTACATGGGAATTTTGTTTGTGGTTCTTAATAATTGAATTTATCGAAACATAATTAAAGAATTATGAATGATATTACATATTTGCTGAGTTCAATGTGTCGATGCGGGTGAATATGAAAATCGATTAACCGCAGCCAAAATTAAATTTTATTATCGCCAAATGTAGTCGGTAAAAAGAAAGATGAACGAGTCAATGTGAATAAAATGAAAAAACGACACATTCGGTTGTTCTTGAGAATTTCCCAAGTACAAGTAGTATTGAAGATCGTTTTCGTTGCATTGTTGACAATGGAGTTTCCAAGCAAATGAAGTACCGAGAAAATGGAAGAGAGAATACGTTACATCATAAAACGATGAGACCGTATGTCAAAAGTTCATATGGCGCCTGGCTCTTCTTTTCAAGTACACTCATGATATTATTATTCCAAATATCCACTTGAATTCAGCACATTATTTGTTACAAATACAAATGTATTCATTTTAGGTAAAAGAAAACCATATGACTTCACCATTATAAAATAAATGAGGAAACATCGGATTCGCATCCGATTGTTAACTGTACTGCAAAAACTGAGTCGACTTATATATGTTGCGAATAATTCTGAGAAAAAAAAATTTTGTTGAAAAAAATCCCTGTACCCTCCTCCCCTCAGGGATGGTCTGTCCAATAATGATAATTTTTCGATAACTCAGCCATTTCTCGACGGATCCTTCTCATCTTCGAACTCGACTAAGATATTGATGAGCTGATTCTGTGTACAAAATGTCATGGCAATTGCATGAGACTTTCCAGAGTTATCCTGTTAACGACCGGATAGACACACTGACCGAATCTAGAGTGTACTCACGTTTTGAGTACACAAAAACAGTCTTGCGCTGCATATTGTGGTGGAAGTATTTGTCCTCAATGTAAAAACTGTTCTAATTGATACTATGACGGTGTAAATCATTTTTATAGTCAAATATAGAACCAATACCTCTATTAATTCAGACCGTTGATTTGGTTCTTGTCAATTGAAGAAAAGTTGCGAAATATCATTTCAACCGTTCACTAGCCATTGTGCACTGATGGAGATTCTCAAAAAAATATTATAAATCCTCTAAAACTAAATAGCTAGTTTTGGAACTTAGATCAAACGAATTCAAGTTTTTATTGCTTAGTGCGGTCAATCAGGTTTTTATTTATAGGAGCTTCTGATATCGACCGCACCAATTTACCATTATTAATTTCAAGTTGCAAAGTCACAAACTATATCGATTTTAATATCAATACACGCGCAAAAACAGCAAGAAGCTGTCCACACATTGCATTATTGGTAGGGAAGCGAATAGTACCTTGAAAAAGTGACAACTGATGACGCATGGCGAGGCTTTGATGTGGTGAAATTCTTCTAATCAATGTAAATACGTACATGCTAACGCCAAGTTCTGTAATCGAAATGAAAAAAAAGCAGTATCGGGCATTCGATAGAAGATTTAAGAATTGCTGAAATCACATGATCTGTTCATCAGGCGAGACAGCTGCAAAAAATTGTCAGCAAAAATCATAAACCATAATGAAGAAAGAAAGATATATGTAAAACCGAAGAAAAAATGACGGCGTAATATAGAAAACAGCCATCATTGTGAATGTAAACTATCATATTTTTCTGTTATTATACAGATACCGTTGGACTACAAAAATAATTGATATCGAGAAAGAAATATGAATCAAAGCAAAACATGTACTCTTACTTACTGCATTTATACTGGCCCAATGTCTGGCACAAAGTGAATATTAAAAAAAAATAACCGCCACATCCACATCATTTTAAATATTAATCAAATCATTTATAGAATCGATATAAACGGAGAAAAAAAGAAACGTACAGATATTCAAAATGGTTAACAAATAGAAGTTGTAAACTTCTGTTCTGCAGGATTATTATTAATGGCATAATCAAAAAAGCTGCAGTTAGAGAAAAGTTCCGAAGATTGTTATTGAATATCTAATTATCCTGTAGTTCATGGTTGACCTGGTCCAACTACTTGACGAATGATACGAATACCTCTTGGTTGAACAATATGCTAAAAATAAACAGAAATTGATTTCAGTTCTAATTCGATTTTATCTTTTTTGAATTGTACATAACAGCCAGGTTTTGCTGAAAACAAAATGGTTTTCAAAGAAAAGTTTGGGAAATGAAGAGATGTCTAAGCGAAATTTGTGTCATTTTTTCTAAATGTCAACTAACTTGTTTTACAGCAAAAACAGGCACGACTTGTTGAGCCACTTCTGGTGGTGCTTGAATTATTTGTTGTTTTTGTTGTGTAGTACAAACTTGAGCTGGTCTAACACATTGCTGTGGAACTTGTCGAATTATTTCTCGAACTAAGCGTCGGCATGGAGCTTTTTGTGGCATTGCTCGACATACATTTGGTTGACAAACTTCACGTTGTCGTACCCGTGATGATATACAGTTGTTGCAGACAATTGTTTGTGGTTGTGAGGCAGGAGCTCGACATCGCTGAACAACAGCTAAATTATTTAATAGAAATATTAAAATCTTACATTAAAGAAAATTTTCAACCTTGTCGCGGCTGGCACATTCGTGGTTGTTCTCTGTAAATATATTTGAATAATTAATAAGCATGATCAAAATAAAATGCCTACCTAACAATAATGGGAGGTGGCGTTGGTGGAGATTGAGGAATTTGTCGATAAATAATTGGCGGGGGAATTTCAGGTGGACATTGAATTTCTACATGAAAACTCAGCTCATTTTCCTGTACAGAATCAATATAAAAACAAACCTACCTCGAATAATAATTGGTGCTGGTGGAGGAGGTGTTGGTGGCTTTAACCAACGTACAATAACATTTTGTTTATATGCTACTTCTTGATTGTTTGGCATATGAACAACACGCGGAGAAATATTATTATCGAAAGAGAGATTTTGAGGAAGTCCCACATTAGAAACACTCATAATAGGTGAGGAAGGAGAATGCACTGCTAATGATGATAATCCATCTATTAGGTGAGTTGCATTAGCACTGCTTTGTAGCATAGTAATAACAATAAATAAATTCTTTTGTCTGAAAACAAGAACAAGATAATGAAACTTCAAAGAAAGTTATAACGAGAAATGTTTTCTAGCAGAATAATTGAAGAAGAAGAAGAAGAAGAAGAAGACGAACAACAATATATACCACGTGTACGTAAAACAATAGTTTTTGGATAACATACGTAGGATTCTAAAAGTCGTTTTTTTCTTAATATTCTAAATAGTTATTGCGAGTTACTGAAGATGAATTTTGAATAAATACATTTTTTTATTGTATTAGGTTGTAGAATATAAGAAGCAGACCAAAATGTTTATTTGTTATCAATGAGCAGTGTTTGTAATCATTGCTCTATAGGATTTCTATGATCAATTTTGACAGTTGAAGGTATTTCTCTTGCATTGATAAATAAAGGAAAACCTTGCTGTATTTGTCCTTGTTCTTCTAGTTTTTGTTGTTCATATTGTCTAATTGCTCTGATACGTTTCACAACGAATGAAGAAGAATATCATATAAGCTTTGTGTTATAAATGTATAACAAATATTGATGAACCAATTATATATTGAGAATAACTCTGTATTAAATCAACATTTTCAAATTCACGTATTAAAATTTGATCTTCGCGATGCTGGTCCGATTTATCGCGACGCGTGCGTCTTAGTATACCACAATAAGTTTAATGTTCAATTTTTTGTATCTGCCGGTTCAAATGAAAGAAATTCTGCATCTTCATTAATTGATAATGAACTTTCTGGTCCAAATCTACCTGGAATTAAATCAGAATGATCGGATGCTGAATAAAATGTACCAGTAATGTTCGACGTTCAAGTTGAGCAGAATGTAAAACCGTTGTTTTCCGTTCATTTTGTTTATTTAAAATAAAAAGTTTTAATATTTGTATAAAAAAAGAATTTTTTTTTTCTATATAAATCGCATAAGCGTTGATATGAATACCTTCGATATGGTTCGATTAGCAAATAAATATTGGTAAAAGAAAAAGAAACAGGGATAGACAGAAAAAAACTACATTCATTTAATGGCAAAGAAAGAAAATGATGTGCATGATACGAAAACGAAATAGCAAGGTTAAAACATATTTTGTTCATTGAAAATAATAAATTTTTATTTTTATTATGCTCGTGGGTGTACGCGACACTCGGAAGTGTTCACATATTAGACGAGAGAAATGTAAATGCATAAGCGAAAAGCTGCATAATTAGAGCAGAGAGATACAATTTGTGCCAACAATATATTATGTTGGGTACCAATTATGCTTGTAGGAATATTTAGAGAATAAACAAAGTGTAAAACGAAGAGAAGAATAAGAGCGAGAGACGTACTGATAACAAGCGACAGCATGATTCGCAAGTAGAGCGAGCAATTAGGAAAAAAAGAAGAACAAACTAAAAGAAACGAAAATGAACGATTCGTGTCGATCTTTGAATTGTCACACACAACGTCCGTAAAAAATGATCAAGGCTTTCGTTTTTCATTTTACAAAAATTGTCTCGACCAAAAATATCTTCATAGAATAATGAAGATACAATCGATGTTGATATTCAGATAAATGGCTACCTAGTATTTACTTCTTGAAAAGATCGACGACGTCGACCAATTTGACATAACAAAAATTCATCGTGATCCTCAATTTCATCTTTACATTGTTTTAAAATTTATTTCTTTTAGAGCAACTTGTCTGCTGTTATATACAAAAAGCATGCATTTGATGCAATATCTAAAAATATATCTAAATTATGTCAATATTGCCTAACTTAATACAGTAGTATCTATTCTGGTGAAAGGATGCCTTTAAAAAAATTGTTTGATTTAATTTTGTAATTCAACACCTTTTAATTCAACATATTATCACTTTTAACAAATGACTAACAATGAATTTATCGACTTATCTAATTAATTTGAGCGCAATCCATAATTGATGAGTACTTATAAATTAATTGAAAGAGCATATAAGAGCTGAGAATGACGATAAGTGATAAGAAAAAAGTTAGCTTAGAAAATGTCTTGGGTATGGTATAGGTGTAAAGAGAAATAAGAACACCCATACTGACGCTCCAGACATGCAAGGCCTTTTTCTATTACTTTAATAATTAATTGTATATAATAGAGGTGTCAGGCTAGCATTAAAAATGAAAATAATGCATTGGCGTATTATGGTAAAGAAAATACTTAATGCTAATTTATTCACTAATTTATCATTCTTAACACCGATATTACTTTTAATTCTAAAGATTTATTATTCATCAACTTTCCTGGAGAAATAAAGCAATGTATTATTTTCACTTTTAATGCTAACCCGACACCTCTAGTATATAACTTTGTGTTGTTAAGTATTGTTATTTAATGAATTAGATGTAAATAAATTTTAAAATTAGATATAGATTGCTATATTTTTAGGTATGAGCTTATATTTACCCCTATGTGAAAGATAAATTAATGATAATAATGAAGAACAAAATTAGTTTGAAACACAAAATTTCATGCACATTGCAGTTTATACATATTAAACCTTGAACAAACCAAGAAAAAAACCGGGTCAGGAAAAAGATGAATTTTATCGACTCAAAGCGTAACTGTTATAGCTGAATCAAGAAAATCAGCAGAGTTAATAGAAATAATCTTTCTTCAAGATATATTCAAATATTTCGTATTTACCTGTCTTACAAGTCCGAACACTGTTTCGTATTTCGGCGTTGCAAAGAAAAAGCAGTTATTTTACATTTTAAAACGAAACAAAAGCTTCCATAGTTACGTTCGAAAAATAAATTCAAAATGCTCAATGTACAATAGTCTATATGACATTGTTATCATAATAAACATTATCTATCAGAATTATGCTTGGTCTGCGATTCTATCTCATTGTCTCGTACATCATCGTCATCATCAACCATCTATAGGCCATCATTTATTACGTATTGAACATTCAATTCATAATGAACAAATATGTGAACATAAATGTTCAACTGATCATTTATGTTCAATGGCAACATTTAATCGACGATATCATCGTTGTCATCTATTTCAACATCATCATCATCATCATCATCATCAAAAACATTCACTATCACATCCCTATCGATTTAATCGCGTTTTTTCGACATTTGCCGATTGTACTCAAAGATTTTCTTTATCTCAAACAGAACGAGTGTCAATTGTTCATTGCGATTATGATTCGTATAGATTTGCTTCTTAGATTTTCTCGTTCAATAGATTATTTTGTGATAGATTACCATGGCAACGTGCTGTAAGAGCACGATCGATTATATTTCAATCTTATACGTTGATTGGTATTTCTTATTTACCTTGTCAAGAACTTTGTTCATCGGTTCGGCATTGTGCTGCTGTACAATTTCAAGTAAATATTCATTTTTTACTATTCAATTGTGTAAAGAAATTCAATATGAAGGCGCGAGGTTTACATCGTAATCGATGCCGATTATTACGTTCAGCTAAACCATGGGATCTTCTACCGACTAAAACATGGACTGTGTTTGTCAAACGATCATGTCATGTACAGATCAGCCAAAATGAATTATTCCTTCGAGATACTCAACCTTTATGTAATTTTAAATATGTTGGTCAAGGTCAACAGTAAGCATTTTTCTGTTGAGCAACATGATTTTCATGATTGGTTTGTAGTAAACATTATCAAGGAATAATTCATACGTTTCCTCATATATCTGAAATTCAATGTCAATATTTATGTTCGAAAATTGTTAATTGTGTGGTGCGTAAATAAACTCATTATTTAAATTTCAAAATTAAAATACGTCATTTCAGGGCATTGAACTTGTCGATAGACAATCTCGTAAGTATTTTCTAGAATCTTTCCCATGGAAGTCGATTGTTATCTCATTTGCAATACTAAAAATTTGTCAAATCGGTAAAATCTTAAAGAAAATTCAATGAAAAAAAAACCTGATTCTCCCCGCAAAGTGCACTCATTTTCACTGTATGTTCCATCAATGTGCTTATTCATTTCTTAGAATGTATTCTTCTTTCTCCGAATTTTCTTCGAAATGATGGTTCTATTGATGTCAAGGAGCATTCTCATCATCATATTTATTTGAAAATGTCATGCAGGACGTCTATGTATATTGAACCTGAACACAGCAGTTTCTCAAGATGTTCCCTCAACGATCATCATTGTAGTTGCCATCAAAGTCCGTGCCGTCATGGAACGTGCTCATCTCAACAAAAAGAAGGATATCATTACATGTCTTGCAATTGCTTTCATGGTTTTACTGGCCATTTATGTGATAAACATGTAGATAATTTTTGTCCGTGTTTAAACGGCGGTGCATGCCTCAGAGATCACTCGGGATGTGCATGTTCACGTGGATACTACGGCGATTTTTGTCAGATTATATCAGATTAAATATAAGTTTCTTATTTGACTCTAATGAGTAACGAGAGAAAGCACGTTGCTAAATTTTGTTTGTTTTGAAGCAAAATATTATTTATTCATTCGAACATCATATATCCATTCAATGACCTGTAGCAAATATCATTCTTACAGCATATTTTAAACAAAAATTGGGTGCTTGACCATTTCGGCGGCAATATCGATAAAGAATATTTGCATTACGTTGAGAGCGTTTGACAATAGTTGATCGTCTATATCGATTGTGTTGCATGGAATATGATGATGGGAGAGTTTTCACATTGGGATAATTGATTAAAGGATCGATGTATTCATTCAAATAACCGTATGACTGCAATAAATAAATGATTCTAAGAAGAACAAAAACATAAATATTTACCGCCGAAGTTGTAAACATGAGAAAAACGAGAAACAGGCACCATAACTAATATTGAGTAAAAAAACGAGTATGATATTAATTCAGATAGAATTCAATCAGTTTTACTTTCATGATCGTCTAGTAAAATTTTTAGTTGAAAAACGATTAATGATGAGATAAAACTAAGAGCAGTCGACCACTCGGTCTTAGTTCTTCTCGTGAAATCATCACATTATGATAGCTCCATTCTTTTTTTCTTCTTTCTCTTTCTCTCTCGTCGTCTGTTGTTCTTCGATCTTTTTTTCTTCTTCTTGTTTGACTCATTTATTATTATTGTCGGAACTGATGGAAAATCAAAATCAAATCTACAAAAACAAAGTTTAATGAATCGTTCAAAATGTCGAACAAGATCTTCGCTAAATTTCCTGAGAGAGAAAAAAATATCTATACATCTCAACATTTCTTGTCATTCAATTTCAGCCCAAACAATAGTTTGTTTTGCACTTAATCATTATTACAGTTGCTTTATCGCTTTCTATATGGGTAAAACAGACTTGATTAATCTCAAGAAGAATTCTCAATAGAACTTTCTGTGTTAGCCCCATCATCTCAATTTCCATTTCCTCCTGCTCCTCCTCGTTCTTCTTCTTCTCGTCGTATAGAATATCAGAGTATTGTGACCGTAATATGTCTGTGCACACACTTACAAAAATCAAAAAGACGAAAACTAATCATCTGAGTCATTTACTTATCTTACTATTTTGCTCTAGTCCTATTGATTGAATATTCATGATCAACAGATCGATGATGACAATATTAAGAGAAAACAATATACGAAGAAAAATATGACAAAAGAAGATCGCACGTAATGATGAATGAGTAACAAAGAAAACTTTTGAGAAAAAAAGGAAATTAACGAAGCATCAAATATATTGAGCTGCTTCCGTAGTAGAAGGGGCGGTCATACATAAAGGACGTAATTCCATTTTTTACTCGCTACTTAGAAATTTGAATGGAAATCACAATTAAGTCATTGGTATTCACAGAAACAAAAAATATTTCTATAGGAAACACAAAATTTCCTGTTTTTTTTCCTAAAAAGTTATGACCGGTGAGAGGGTAGGCCCGCTGACTGGACTCATCCAGTAGATAAGTCACTGATCTCAATTGTTAGATAATTTCACACTCCCGAAAGCGACATTTTAATGTATAAAATAAAAATTTGAAACATGATTCTCCGTGCCCTGTCTCTTTTCGCCGGCCGTTCTTTATAGACGTTCCCGAGCTGATTTGACACCCACATTTATTGTATATTTCTAATTTAGAGTAGATGTATATAATTTTGATATAGTCCTATGAAATTTATACAAAAGTCAAATTTTTCATAGTGTAATTTGCAATTTTGCATTTGATCGTTAAAATGCAAATTATGAAGCCATGATTTATTATTATAGTTATTTCACATCAGTAATATATATATATATATATATATATATGAAATTGATACTTAAATCTTGTTTGAACCAAAGAAGAAGAAGAAGAAGAAAAAATCTAAATACTGATAACTTATTAATAGATCATCAATTCATTTGAATGAGGACATTTATGATAATCAAAAATAGACATAAGAATATGATTAATTGCCGTTGAAAGTATATATCTGCATATTCCATCTGATATGACTTATACTAACAATTCCATCTGGGAAATCAATGTAAAAATACTCGAAGGATTAGAAATTCTATTTGATCAAGTTGTCATGTTTTTCTTTACGAGATGAAAATCAAATTTTTCCCTTATGAGTTATATCAGGTTGTTGTTTTAGTTTTTTTAATGCAGCAATCGATCATGCTTGATGACCGAAATGTGTCAAATACACAATCGTTATCTCTAAATGATCAGTAAATGTAAATGCGTTTAATACGAGACTCAACTAAAAACGAGCGTAGTCGTAATGGACAACTTTCATCAGATGTTACGCAGTGCATATTTTTATAGGATGCCAAGTGTTTTTCATCATTTTATCATTAATCATATTTTAGCTTTAAATTCGAAACTAATATTTCTATAGCTTCGATTAGTTTCATATGCAAATGAAAACTGGAATTATTGTAATCGTTTTTTAGAAATCCAATTGAATACAGCTCCGCGACATTCACACATGACTTTTTTCAAAGATACATTTGTCTTTGAATTTAAATCAGATTGTACATTTTTAATTTTATCGGAAAATAATATTTTTGAGTTTTGCCACCGACGATGAACAATCGACAGATTATCATCGAGCAATTGTCGACTAAGATCATTTGTAATTATAATACCATTTTTACTAATTATGTGAGAAGATATGGAAGAATGATAGTTATGCATGCGTGCGAAGCCTCGCTGATTATTGAATGCTGAATATTTCGAAGGATGTTGGCGATTACGTTCTAGTGCGAATATTTCACGATGTTTTTCATTTTCTCGACGAAGTGACATAAGAAACGAGCGAGAATTGAAATCCTGCGCAGTCAAATCAGTATTACTCGATTGCATGACAATTATATTGTACTGAGAATGTTTAAGCAATAAAAAAATTCGCGCTTGTACATTAACTAACAATAAAAAAATACATAAATCAAGTACAATACGTAACATGTAAATAAAAACCGTAGTATGTCCTTCAAAAAAAAAGCACGACAAATGACGACAGTCACAAAAAGAATTAGCAATTCGTTTTCGTTGAATAACGTTACTGTAGTTTTCAGCAAACACGATTTTTCTTCTCTGTTCTTTCCTTCATCATTCTCATTCTTTAAATAAATTCTTCGATGGGCTCCGGAACATCGAGTGACGCTTTGAAGGACACCAAATTTGGCGACAACACAACTACAACAACTGAACTGCCATTTTCGAAACAAGTAAAGACAAAATGGTCGTCAACTGCAACAAAAATATTCACAGGTAATTTCGATCGAACTAAAATGAGCTTCATTGGGCATATTTCATTGAAGGGGCAGTCAATGTTCTCATAATTTGTCAAACAAATCAACAAAACGCTGCTGACCGACTGCGAAGCCAATTAATAGAACTTAAATTTAACTGCTATACTCTCACGGATACAACACCTTCATCGATCGTTGCTCGAGCTAATCTTGTTCGATGGTCTGATGTATTTATTTCTCTCATCAGCCGATCATATCAACGAGCATTCTGTTGCATGGAAACTATTAACTATGCAAAAGATATCCGGAAACCAATCGTTGTCATTTTAGGTGAATCAAATTTTCAACCATATGGAGCCTTAGGTGCAATTTCAGCAGGCGCTGTTCACACTATGCTACTTGACGATGGCGGTATATCAGAAAATGTTCTAACATAGTTATCCAATATCATTTCAAATCAAAAGATTAAGAAGAATAGCAAAAATGTCACTGATCCAGCTAAAGTATGTTTAATCCTCAACTCTCTGAAACGTTCTTCTCTCACAATATATGCATAGATGGAAGCTAATAATGATAAAGTGAATTTGATTCATGGTGAAACTCAACGCACTATTCTCATCTGTACTGTTGATGATGGTGCCACTGTTGCACAGTTGGCTTACGAAGATTTTACTCATCACGCACATACTCATTTGGATCTGAAAGCTCCGCCGCCAATGCTCGATGAATACGGATTACCGAAACGACGAGAAGTTGATTGCATGATCAGGTAAGTCAGACTGCATTAAGTGGCCTTCATCATTTGAATGTTTCAATTGTAGTTACCAGTGGGATAATCAAATATTCGTTCGTAAAGTTTATGAAGATATGTCGATACGTGAAATCCGTGTACGGTTTGATATTTGGGGTTCCATGCAAATGAGGCCATGGCTACAGGTTCATTCTTTTGTCTGACGTTTCCTATGTTGTTTAAATATTCCCTCTACTGAAAGGAGTGTATTACGAAAAACGAGTTAAATGAGTTTGTTCGTTCAATAGAAAAGCACATGCATAAACTTAACTAACCTCAAACAATATCCTGCAGGGATACGGCTGGCGGAAGGTAATCGGGGTTAGGATTAGTGTCCCCAGCGTCATTTTGTTGTCATATTTATATTTAATATAGATTGACGTGATAATGTAAGCTGTTCGAAAAGTTGGCCATGCACAACCACCTGATGTTGTTGATGATTGCTCAGCGGAATTATTTGAATTGCGTTGTCTGCTTGATGATGCACGAGATGCTATTAGTGCAGAAAGTGGACAAAGTCGTTTCAAAATATGCACTCGTTGCAGTCAAAAATTTGATGAATACACGAAAGGTGGATGCAAAAATCATCGAACATTTTACATGGGTGGAACTATTTTAGAAGGTCGATGGGTCTGTTGTCGACAACAAGCAAGAGACTCATTAGGTTGCANCAATGTTGAGGTGTTTAGGATACACAGTTGGATTCCTTCCACATATATTTTAATTGATGAATTAGCTAAATACGGCATAATTAGTTAATTACCTATAACAGACCCTAACAGATAGGCATTGGAGCCATCACAAACGGGCTAGCAAATTCAGGGTGGATAGAGGGGAGCACTTATGACATGCTTTGATGAATAGTAGTAGCCGTCTTCGTACGGTCAAGAGACACATAATGCTATAATATCAGCAACTTTATGATCTACTTGCATTTTTCACTTGTTGGTGGTGCATTAGAGTATAATGAAAGCAAAAGTTCAGAAATATATAGAATAATTTGTGTTTTTAATCAGAATTAACACTTACATCGTGTTTCACATTTTAATCCGAAAGAGATTGCGTTAACAGCTTTTTACTCAAGATTCTTCATATGGTAGATGGGTGCCACCGTAATCATGCTTCGGGTTTGCGATAGAGACAATATTTCGTCCTTAAACAAGTCAAGGAGCGGTATAGCGATCGTTTCTTAGGAAGTTTCGACTAGCACTTTGTGAATGCTGTCGGAAAAAAAGATATTCAGATTGTTATAGACTTCTTGATTATTGGGATTTCTTTTTCTTTTGATTTCGTGTGAATGACTTATTGAAAATTTCTTTTAAATGAAATTATTTTTGTCGAATTCGTAGATACAGAAAATGGCAAATTATGACGAAAATAGTGATTTCTAATCAGTGACAAACGGATCATTCATGATCATCTATTCAAGAAATTTTAAAAAACAATATGTTCTTTCGATGGTGGAGTCAAGGTAAATTTAGACTACCTTTACGAGTAATTTGAATATAATAATCACATGAATACGGTTTGATTGACGACCTTCAGAGAACAACAAAGAGTCATCGTGTGGATTCCATTACTTATAATGTTTTCTTGAAGAATAGCGAGTATCATTTGTAAAGTATTTCGATCAAATATTGAATAATACAAGTAAAGAGGATGAACGTATAAGATTTTCTAAAGTTTCATCGAACTGTTGTTCTTTTTCACATCGTCAATTCAATACATATCCCCCTGGGAAAAAATAAAGTCACACGATATTCTTGATATATCATATAAGAAATGTAATTATATATTCGGATAGCCCATGAAATTCTCTAAAACTCAATATATGTACATTTTGAATTGCACTCGTTCGCTAAAGATAAATTCAAGTACAGTAAAGGCACCCTCATCGTCAGATTCCCCCGAAAATTCACTGTTTGTTACTTTCCAATTAATTTTTTCTAATTTATTTTAAATATAGAAAAATATATTTACGAAAATAAATATATATATTCTGAAAGCGCGTGAGATCCTTTATTAACCTGTGCTTTTGTCAACCTTGACTTGCAAATATTTGAGGGCAAATCTTTCGAGCATTGTTAATGTACTCACGCATCACGTTCCTAGATCTGATGTTGTTGAGAGTTCAAGCGATATCCCTGCGGAAAGTAGTTCATCTAAGACCAAAGACTCCCAACAGCGCCGAGATCAAGTTTCGATGGGTGGTTCGTTATCCATACCTCTTACGTTTTTAGCAGATAATTGTTCATGGGTTGCTGCATGAATTCATGTGAACTAGAGTACGATAGCAATGCTCGACATATTTGCCATCGAATAATTGCAAGTCCAGACTGTTAGAAGTATAGGGTGATAGAGAATTTCATGCACTTTCAGAATATATACTTACTTTTGTAATAACTTGTCCTATATATAAAAGAGCAGAAAATGAATTTTCGGGGAGAATCTGACGATGAGGGTGCCTTTACTGTACTTGAATTTACCTTTAGCGAACGAGCGCAATTCAAAATGTACATATATTGAGTTTTAGAGAATTTCATCGGTTAGATGAACATTATTGATTCGTCTATTGATATTATGAATTTGTGCACATTATTAGAGTCCCCTATCGCTTATACACTTATGCAGAGAATTCATTTCCTTCATCTATTACGGAATGAACTTCATGTTAAATAACAAATAAATATTTTGGCAATCGATTTCTCATGACAAACTCATATTTGAAATAAACTAATAAAAACAAAGTTTTCATGTAACCACATCTAATAGTATAGGTGATTCAGTAGAGTGCTTCTCAAAATGAACATAAAAAATACGATCAAACAATGTTTCGTCTCTGTTTGTGATAAAAACGAAATCTTAAAAAGCTCTTGCCTACAAGCGTAAGAAAAAAAGACGGCAACAAGAAAATGTCAAATTAGTCATCCAGCGTCATTGCATATCGGTGATGAAATTCTCTACAACTTTCTTTTCTTTTTCTCTTTATTCTCTTTCTTTCACATCATCGCTTTATATTACTCAAAAAAATCTCAAATGGGCTGTGGAACGTCTCATAACGCTGCTGCACACGAGCCAATGAATTCTAACGCAGCCATTGCGACTACGATGCCATCAACAAAACAACAAGAAACGGTTAAATCCACTCAGAGTACATCGCAAAAATCTTCAGGCAATTGTTGCACAGCAAAATTAAAGACCTTCTTTCTTATTAAATATCATTCTTATTTTTTAGACACAATAAATGTACTTATAACGTGTCATCAAAACGAAAAAAACGTCGCTGACCGACTGCGAAGCCAATTAATAGGTCTTAAATTTAACTGCTATACTCTGACGGATACAACACCTTCATCGATCGTTGCTCGAGCTAATCTTGTTCGATGGTCTGATGTATTTATTTCTCTCATCAGCCGATCATATCAACGAGCATTCTGTTGCATGGAAACTATTAACTATGCAAAAGATATCCGGAAACCAATCGTTGTCATTTTAGGTGAATCAAATTTTCAACCATATGGAGCCTTAGGTGCAATTTCAGCAGGCGCTGTTCACACTATGCTACTTGACGATGACGGCACATCAGAGAATGTTGTAACACAGTTATCCAATATCATTTCAAATCAAAAGATTAAGAAGAATAGCAAAAATGTCACTGATCCAGCTAAAGTATGTTTAATCCTCAACTCTCTGAAACGTTCTTCTCTCACAATATATTCATAGATGGAAGCTAATAATGATAAAGTGAATTTGATTCATGGTGAAACTCAATGTACTATTCTCATCTGTACTGTTGATGATGGTGCCGCTGTTGCACAGTTGGTCTACGACGATTTCATCTCGAATAATCTCAATGTAGGATTCGAGAATCTTTCAAAATCAAATGCAGCATGTAGTATAAAACGATGCAATGTCCTCGTACCGATTTTGACAGCGCAATTTGAACAAACACCTATGTGTCGAGGCGCACTTGAAGAAGCTCGTCGACTTCAAAAACCTATTGTACCTGTTATAGCAATAAAAGATTGGCGACCAGAAGATTGGCTTGGTTTAACGATTGCGGGATGTATATTTTTTCGAATATTTGATAAAGACGGTGCCTATAAACCAATTTTCGATAGTTGTCGAATGATGGATCTACGTGTCGACGTTGAAGTAAGCGATTGAAATGAAAAACTCATTGGAAACTATTTTCTACAAACAAAACACAGGTTGCATGTCGACCAATTCCGAGTCAAGCTGAACGTGAAAAGGCGGAGATCAAATCATTGAAAGAAAAAATTGAAGAATGTAAAGGAAAATTACAAGCGTGGCCACCTACTCGCAAACCGCGTACATTGAATATCTTAACTGACCGACAGCCTGTTCGTGTCAGATTGGATGAACCAAATGCGAAACTTTGTTTTACTCATATTCACCACACACTTACTCGTTTGGATCTGAAAGCTCCGCCGCCAATGCTCGATGAATACGGATTACCGAAACGACGAGAAGTTGATTGTATGATCAGGTAAGTCAAACTGAATTAAGTGGGCTTCATCATTTGAATGTTTCAATTGTAGTTACCAGTGGGATAATCAAATATTCGTTCGTAAAGTTTATGAAGATATGTCGATGCGTGAAATCCGTGTATGGTTTGATATTTGGGGTTCTATGCAAAGAAATGCAAATGAGGCCATGGCTACAGGTTCATTCTTTTGTCTGACGTCTCCTTTGTTGTTTAAATATTAGGTTCCACTGCATATTAGGTGTGGAATGTGCCAAAGTATTACTTGTGTTTCTATCGAAAGCTTATCTCGACTCAGCCAATTGTCTGATGGAATTTCGATATGCTGTAAAACGTGGGAAAGGGTTTGTTATAATTCGAACAGAACCAAACATTCAACTCGATCCATGGATGATTGAGGCAATTCAAGGATTTCCTCAGTATGAAATTTATTCGTATAGTACCTTAGAAGCATTAATCAATGGGGTTCCAACGGTTAGGATTAGTATCCCCAGCGTTGTTTTGTTGTCATATTTATATTTACTCTAGATTGACGTGATAATGCAAGCTGTTCGAAAAGTTGGTCATGCGCAACCACCGGATGTTGTCGATGATTGCTCAGCGGAATTATTTGAATTGCGTTGTCTGCTTGATGATGCACGAGATGCTATTAGTGCAGAAAGTGGACAAAGTCGTTTCAAGACATGCACTCGTTGCGGTCAAAAATTTGATGAATACACGAAAGGTGGATGCAAAAATCATCGAGCATATTACATGGGTGGAACTATTTTAGAAGGTCGATGGGTCTGTTGTCGACAACAAGAAAGAGACTCACCCGGTTGCGATTCCTGTGATCACACTGATGTTAATCGTGTTTTTACTGTAGATCCTTCATATGGTACATGGACATGGGTACCGCCGTAGGATTCCATTATTATATGATAAACATAATTATTTGCTTCTCAATAAATTATATTGCGAAATTGAAATCCTATCATAAAAATAATGTTCTAAATATTTTTTTTAGGTACTGCGAATATGAGGAGATTTGTTCTAACGTAAGAACAGATAAGCTGTAAGATTGTGCGGGAAGATGGTAAAGATCGATGGTGAAACCAGCGCCACAATATACTGCTAAAGATTTTAAGAGAGATTGGTCGTACATTGAAGATATGAGAAAAGCGGCTTCAGTGTTATTTCATTTGTAATACTTCTGATAGAAAATTTAAAAATCGATCAACAATGTAAAATTTATCAACAGTAATTACACCATTAGGACTTGAATTTAATGTTAAATAATCAACATGTAAAACTGAAGTGCAGCGTTCTGAAAAATAGGGAAGAAAATTTCATTAAGAAAAAAGTAATTTCCGAAAGTGCAATAATGTTTCTTCATCGTTCCGTAGCTGAACGTTTTATTTTTTAATTTGACCCTCGCTATTTATTTATTGTTTATCTTCGGTCCGTTTGAGTATCGCCGTTGTTCTATGGATCGTGACGCATGCGACGCCTTTCCTAATAATGTGAATATACTGTTAACGACTTCACAAGAAAAAGATATTCTATTATAGAAAGCTAATAAATAATCGAGCATTTTTAACTTCATAAAAGAAAAATGTGGAAACTTCGGATTTCATCCGAGAGTTATGTGTACTGCAAAAAGTGCATGGAACATATGAGTCATTCTAGAATGTCTGAACACGAAAATTATCATGAGAAACTAGACAATTTTATTTCTGGATGCAGTTTTTGTGCATTTTGAGACGTTTTTCAGGCGATGTTTCGTTAGAAAGCTACGACTTAGTTCAAAACTAATATCAGATTTAGAATTATCGTTAAAAACTCAGTCGATTTATATATTTTGTGGATAATTCTGAGAAAAAAAGTTTTTTTGAAAAATCTCTGTACCCCTCCTCAGGGATGATCTGATCAAAAATGACAATTTTTTCGATAACTCAACCGTTTCTTGACGGATCTTTCTCATCTTCGAACTCGACTGAGAAATTGATGAGGCTGAACTGTGTAGAAAATTTCATCATGATCTAACTCTCCTTTCGAAAGTTATCGTGTAAACGGACGGACGCACTGACCGATTCTAGAGTGTACTCACTTTTTGAGTACACAAAAAGGTGATTCAACGTTCAATCGATAGTCATTCTTAAGAATCATGTTAATACACTCTGAAAGAATTTTACTATGGTTTCTAGCAACAAAAAAGTGATTAATCAAATTTGTAGTTGGCATATCATGATGAAAGCAGCGATGTCTCATCAATTGAAAACGGATCACTCATCAACATCATATTTCAAAAATTCAGGTCTCGTACATCGTTACATAACGTATCATGATCTTTGCATGAATTTTCATGAAAAACAAATTCGTTCAATGAAACAATGACAATATCACTTCGGTGGTTGACTCGAGGTTAGTTTCGGCTACCTTTACGTGTGAGTTGAATAGGAAAGTCGCATAAATATGATTTGATTGACGATGTTCAGTGAAGAACTGAGAGTCATTATGAGCCTGTCACTACTTATGACGATTTCTTGAAGAAAAAGTTGAAATGTTAAATCTCATTTGATCATTAAATAGATTAAATACCGTAATAGCGAGCCCTATTTGTGAAGTATTTCGTTCAAAATAAATGTATTCTGTCGAGTGGTAAGCCGAATGCAAGCAGCATTCGTTTGTTTTCTGCTGAATAATGCAAGCGAAGAGAATAAACTTATAAGATATTCTATAGCTATATCACATTCTTTAATGTTTTCACATCGTCAATTTCATACATAATTATGGTAGAGAAGTTATTTCCTTCATCTATTACGACATAAGGTTCATGTTAAATGACAATTAAATTCTTTCGCATTCGAGTGTTCATGACAAAGTCTTATTTAAAATAAATTAATAAAGCATCTTCATGTAATGGCAACCAAAATTATCGGTGATCTGTATGAAATTTTCTCAAAATTAGCATCGCAAACGCGAGTCGACATAGTTTGTGTTTTGTTCGTGATAAAAAGAAATCTAAAACTACCTTGTCAAAAATGCGAAATAAAACAAAACGGTAGCAAGAAAATGTCAAATTAGCCATATAGCATCAACGCATGTCGCTGAGGAAATTCTCGAAAACTTTCTTCTTCTTCACTTCTTAATCACTTTTCTTTACATCATCGCTTTCTATCGTAAGAAAACTCTTTAATGGGTTGCGGAGCGTCGTTTAACCCTGCTGCACACGAAAGAATCAATTCTAACGCAGTCATTGCCATTACGTCATCAGCAATAACACAACAAGAACTGATTAAATCCAATCAGAGTACACCAGCCATGTCATCAGGTTATCATTGTGACTCAAACTTCAAACTTTATATTTTAGTAATCGTCATTCTTATTTTTCAGCCACAATAAATGTACTTATTACTTGTCATCAAAATGAAAAAAACGTCGCTGACCGACTGCGAAGTCAATTAATAGATCTTAAATTTAACTGCTATGTTCTCGTTGATGCGATGCCTCAGTCGACGGTGGCCCGGGCGAATCTCATCCAATGGTGTGATGTATTCATTTCTATCATCAGCCGATCATATCAACGAGCATTATTTTGCATGGAAACTATTAACTATGCAAAATATCACGGCATACCAATCGTTGTCATTTTAGCTGAATCAAATTTTCAACCATATGGAGCTTTAGGTGTCATTTCAGCAGGTGCTGTTCACACTATGCTACTTGACGATGACGGTATATCAGAGAATGTTCTAGCACAGTTATCGGATGCTCTTGCAAATCAAAAGATTAAGAAAAATAGCAAAAATGTCACTGATCCAGCTAAAGTATGTTTAATCCTCAACTCGCTGAAACGTTCTTCTCTCGCAATATATTCATAGATGGAAGCTAATAATGATAAAGTGAATTTGATTCATGGTGAAACTCAATGCACTATTCTCATCTGTACAGTTGATGATGGTGCCGCTGTTGCACAGTTGGTCTACGAAGATTTCGTCTCGAACAATCTCAATGTAGAATTCGAGAATCTTTCACAACCAAATGCAGCATGTAGTGTGAGACAATGCAATGTCCTCGTACCGATTTTGACAGCGCGATTTGAACAAACACCTATGTGTCGAGGCGCACTTGAAGAAGCTCGTCGACTTCAAAAACCTATTGTACCTGTTATAGCAACAAAAGATTGGCGGCCAGAAGATTGGCTTGATCTAACGATTGCTGGATGCGAAGTTTTTCGTATATTTGATAATGAAAGTGCATACGAAGCATTCTTGGATAGTAGTCGTATGAGTGGTCTACGTGCCGACGTTACAGTAAGTGATGGAAAACGGAACTTAGTTTGCATTTTTTTTCCTAAAAAAACAATTAGATGAGATGTCGACCAGTGCCTAGTCGAGCTGAACGTGAAAAGGCGGAGATCAAATCATTGAAAGAGAAAATTCAAGAATGCAAAGGCAAATTAAAAACGTGGCCACCTGCTCATAAACTACGTACATTGAGTATCTTAACTGATCGGCAAGCTGTTCGTGTCACATTATCTGAACTAAATGCACAACCTGATGTTACTCATATGCACGAGACAATTAGTCGTTCGGATATAAAAGCGCCGGCGCCAATGGTCGACGAATATGGATTTTCGAAACGACGAGAAGTTGATTGCATGATCAGGTAAGTGATACTGGGTTTGATAATCGTCGTTGTTTGAATGTTTTTCTTGTAGTTATGAGTGGGATAATCATAAACTTGTTCGTCAAATTTACGAAGACATGACGATGCGTGAAATCCGTGTATGGTTCGATATTTGGGGCTCAATGCAAGGAAATGCCAGTGAGACAATGGCTACAGGTTTATTCATCTAACTAAACTCTTCTTCGTTTCATAAATAATTATTGTGTTTGCATATTAGGTGTGGAATGCGCAAAAGTATTACTTGTGTTTCTATCGAAAGCATATACAGAGTCACCCTATTGTCTAATGGAATTTCGATACGCAGTGAAACGGGGAAAGGCGTTTGTTGTCCTGCGAACAGAACCAAACATTCAACTCGATCAATGGATGCTTGACGCAATTCAAGGATTTCCTGAATATGAAATTTATTCATATAATGCTCTAGAAACATTAATCAACGGAGTTTCAACGGTTAACATTACTAGGACATCATTATTTATATTATTTAAACTTACTTTAGATTGATGTGATAATGCAAGCTGTTCGCTACGTCGGTCATGCCCAACCACGGTATTTGGTTGATGATTGTTCGGCTGAATTATTTTGGTTACGTTGTTTATTTGATGATGCACTGAATGCTATCAGTGTAGAAAGCGGACAAAGTCGTTTCAAAACGTGTACTCGTTGTGGTCAACAATTCGAGGAACACACGGAAGGCGGATGTAAAAATCATCCAGCACACTTTATGGATGGAGCTATTTTAGAAAGTCGATGGGTCTGTTGTCAACAACAAGGAAAACGCGCGCCCGGGTGCAATCCCTGCAATCACACTGATGTGGTTCGTGTATTTACCCAAAATCCATCAGTCGGTACATGGGCGTGGGTACCAACTTAATAGTGAGCTATGAGTTGTATGAACTTAATCTACTATTTTCAATAAATCTTATATCACATCTGAATTAGTTTAAGAATATTTACTGCTTTTTAATTTTTACGCGTTCTTGGGTAGTTTTTGAGCACTGTTATCTTTTCTAGGTGAACATAATTGCTGCTTAGGAACAGTTTAAAATTCAATGAAATGAGAATCAACGAAGCATTTGGTTGAGATTCTTGCTTTAAAAAAAACAGTATGATAATGTTTCTATAGAAACTTCATCATCACAATGACGCTTGCAACGATTGAAGAAAAAGCCGGAAAGAAACTTTGATGCATAAAGTGTTTTCGAGACATTCTGTCGACAGAAGTACAGCAATATGACTATGAAGTGAGGAACAAAACTCCGTTCACTTCAATGCATTTTCTCTTAAAATTATTTCAAATAAAAAACCAAAAAAGAGAGCCGACGAATCTACAATAATTGGGAATATTTTCAAAAAACGAAAGTAATAAATATCCACCGGGATGCGTTATCTTAATTGTGATCGTTGTAAAATGGCATGACTAAAGTCAATCGCATATGTAATATTTTCCTTTGAATCTTTTAATGTTTGTATATATTCCAGATGATTAATATCATGTGCTTCTGTAACACCTAATGTCGAGCACATAGACGTTAAACCATCGATTCGAGCTAACTCAAGTTTTTTACGTGCATCAGCTTTTGCCATTTCCCGTATTAATTTTGCTTGCGCTTCAGAAAGTGCAAGTGTCTGTGTTGCATTATTGCGATATCGATTTACTAAAATATCCGTTTGCTTTTTAATAAGAGCTTCGTGATTTACATATTCTGCTTTTTCTCTTTCTAAATTACGAACTAAACCAAGAAGTCGTCGTTCCATAACACATTGTGGAACGTCAATATCTAAAAGAGATGATTTTAATAATAAAAACAAAATCCGAATTCAACTCATTCACCGTGCAGTTGAAGATATCGCAGTTCAACAAATAAACCTTTTTCTTCTTTTGTACAATTTTTTTCGCGTGGTTTACAATTCGGAACACATCGTTCATGGATTGGACATTTTGAACAGTTAGTTTTACATTTCGGAATACAACAAGAGCCGCCTAGAATGTGAGTTGCTTTTATTTCGACATGAATTCGATCGAGTTGTTTTACCTAAATGACGCTTAACACCAAAATAAATTTCACGCTGAATTTTATTTCGATTCTTTATAAATTCATCGGTATCAAATCGTGAACATGTTGATATAACAGCTTCTTTAGCATTGGCAATAATAATTGGCTGATAGCGAATATCGTATGTAGCATGAAGATGTGGTAAATCTTCTTTGGTAAGAAAATATTGAAATTTTATGTTCTACAGAAAATGGAAAAGCGATTATACGAGACAGAAGGCCTTGCTAAACATAATGTTGTTGTTTTATTTCATTCGTGTTTATATAATTAATTCACTGATTGCTGAAAAATGCTACTCGTAAATCAACAACTGTCATAAAAGGTCTGAGTATTTATTCATTTGGCAGAGGAATTTTGACTTATTATTTCGAATGTGGCAGAATAAATGATGATCTCAGCATTTTGGCAAAATATCTTTTCTACTTGCCATTGATTTGAACTGAAACTTTTCCCAAAACATTCATCATTCAATTCTCTACAAAACAGTTCACAAATGTTCAACTTTCTAACTCAAAATGTATTAACATTTAGAGTGTTTCGACAATTTTCTTTGAAAGTGAAAATTGGAGTTTTTTCGAAAAAGCAAAAAAATGAATCCAGAATGTAATGCTCTTTAACAAGGTCGGCTTCGATTTTTGTAGATCCCCATGTGGAAAGTAAATTTTAGAAAAACTGAGTTTGCGCTAGAAATTTGAGGATTATTTAACCGTTTTGTTTTTAGTACCTAGCAGTTTTGTAGAGAATTGAATGATGAATCTTTTGGGGAAAGTAGAAAAGATATTGAGTAAATAATAAGACCGCTATTTATTCTGCCTCATCCGTTAGTGCTAATAGCAATAGAAATTTAGAATTAACGTATCTTAACTTACTAAGTTTACTTGTAAATTATCTGACGTAAAAACCAATACATTACTTAGATTGACATGATGTATTGTTGCTTTGAATTCTTTGAAACTAAATGAAGTAGCAAACATCGAAGGTCACGTGGAAGAAGGCACTCTTAATTACGTATAATCTGGTCCAGAAAAATATAGTCCACTTTCGTAAATTCGACTGAGATTGACACGACCTGTAGTTCGTCGACGGAGAAATCCGTATTGATAGAATTCAATATAGGAAAATGAATTGCCTATAATAACGATCAAAATGAATAGCGTGATAATAGCCACTGGTATGAACCTCGAAGAATAACAACGAGAAGATCCCATGTAGAAACGTTTAATGTTATCTAGAATTTTACAAGAAACAGCGATACTTGTTCAATTGCTTTTCGTGTTGGTGAAAAGAAAATCTAAAACTTATCGCATAATATACAGCCACTCGATAATACTAACGGGTGTCCGAGAAGGAATGGGCCTCTCAGTATTTTTAAGATCTGTCCTATATTATCCTTGTGATTGAAAGTGTTTTGTAGCCAAAATATAGAGCTTGAAATTCTCTACAAACTCATATACGGCTAGACCCCAAAACAGTTTTAGATATATCTGAAAAAAGCCGAAAACTAGAAGCATGTATATAGTTGTAAAAAGTAAATAACGGGTATCCCATAATAAATGGTCGCACTTCCCATTCCATATTTTAATCTCTAAATGCATTTATTAAAAAGAAAAATATTATCACAAGATGCAGCGTGAAAAGCTCTACTACCTATAAAACAAAATTTTATTTTAATAATATTCTTTTTGTGTTAAAAATAGCAAAACTCTGTGCGACCAATTTTCTCCATTGTGAAAAAGATCGCTCTTTTTATACGAACGAGAATTCCTTTTTCTTATTTTATCTTTTTATCACGTAGTATGTTTTCTTTAAAATAAACAAAATATATGAGAAGATGCAGCTTGAAAAGTTTTACAGTTTATAGAGAACAAGTTATTTTTTCCTTATACCTGTTTTGTTCAAAAACGCTCTAAATACTGTGCAATCTGCTTTCGCAACGGCGAAAATTGGTCGCAGAGTTTTGCTGCCTTTTAAAAACAAAAAGTGTACTATTAAATAAACTTTAATTTGTAGGATGTAGAGCATTTCAAGCTGCATCCCGTGGTATATTGTGTTTTTTAATAAAAGATATTTATAGCTTAAAATATTAGGTGAGAACTGTAATCATTTATTATGAGGCACATGTTTACTTTGTACATCGGGTTATATGTTTTTAGTTTTTAGTTTTTGTCGTTTTCAGATATATCCAAAAGCTGTTTGGGGTCTAGCCATATATGAGTTTGTAGAAAATTTCAAGCGCTATCTTTTGGTTACAAAACACTTCCAATCACAAGGATAATATATGACAACAGATCTTAAAAATACTGAGAGATCCATTGTTTCTGGGACGCCCGTTACTTACATGTTAAACGATCGTTACTTCTTTTTCAGTATTCATTTATTTCGTTGGAACTATTCGCACTGATCAAATTTTAGATTTTTAATCCAATTAATTACTCAGCAATGTCTCGCGTAACTGACCTTTTTACATCGATGCATACAGTATAAGATGTTTGTTTTACACTTTACTCCTATCGGGAAAACATGTACAGAAAATAATGTATAGAAAATACCATATGGCAATATTTTCTTTTCTCTATGCTTTCCAGATTGTTTTTCCATCGGAATCTCTCAGCAGGAAGAAATCTAAACACTCGCGAAAAATAAGTTTCCTCCCATGAGTAACTGTGAGATTTTTGTGCATTAGTCTCATAATTAATACGAAATTTATATCGATTGAATTCTGAAGTTTTTAGGAAGAAAGTGAAAATGATTTATATAGAAACCTAGAGCTTCTTTTATCATTCTACACAGGAAGGCTCTTGGCTGAGCGTCAACAAGAAGTTGGATACAGCCAGAAAAAATAATACCATCAGCAACAATAGCGACGTGTACAGAACGCAACGAAAAAAGATGCACGGAAATGATATAAATCTAGTAGGCTGATAGATAGTCTTGTGTTATTATGTTTATTTTTCCGACCAAAACCATAAGCTCAATACAATTTATATTAAAGAATATTTCTTAAGTAGATTTGTAAATAATTTGAGAGCTGAAAAAATATTTCATTGACCTGTTCAGATGTATTTTTTTTATGACGCAAATGCAGCATTGTCAATGAGAAATCATTCACGTGATAGTAAATGGATGTTAGCTAATTGTTTGCATTGCTTTTTTCTTCTTCCTTTCTGTTTAATGTGCATGACAGCATGTGACGTCAAAATACATAAGCAAGAGGTAGCTGATTAGTTGAAAATGAAGAATAAAAATTTTATTGCTGTGTGACGATGAAATAAATCTTCAGCGAAGACTCGTTTCATGGCAACTTGATTTTTATCAGATAGTGAAACAGAACAAATGTCGAGGTCAATACGCCTCTATAGCTCAGTGGTAGAGCGCCAGTCTTGTAAACTGGAGGTCCGTAGTTCGATCCTGCGTGGAGGCATCTTTTTTTTTTGTTCGTTCTTTCACTGGATAGCTAGCGCGGAAATATAAGTCAAAGATTTAACAATTTCTTATTAAACTAAGAAATAATAAAATTCACATTCGTAATGATTGTCTGTTTTTTTTCTTAACGAAAATTAATACGTGTTCTGAAGTTTGAGCATTGAAAATACTGACAGCTGATTAATAGCTACACTGTTTCCTTCTCAATATGAAGAAGTAAAAATGGAGAAAAGTATTCTTTCGAATAATTCAAGTATCCACTTGTATAAAAACTTCAGTAGCTTATAAATTATCGACCAGAATAATTATCTTAGATTTAAACAACTCGCTGATGCAATATTTTTATGGCATTTATCAACGATTAGATTTTATTAATGTCTTCCTATGTATACTTTGTACGAAAGGTCATACACTCGCAATAAAATCTGTATCTTGTAAAAAAAACACTCGAAAAATTGATGAGTTCAGTTTATTTTCTCATCGCATAAATACACATTAATGCATTATGAGAACGTCTAAGCCACGGAATTATGCATAGTAGTTGTTAAAGATGAAGAGCTTATTAGTGGTGAGTATGGGTTGTATCAAGGTCTATATTCGCATTTGGTTTCACCTTGAATTTTGAAGTTTTCTATAGAATAAACAGTGTGTTATTTCTCTTCTTACACTAATAGAACGAATCATGCGACGTGCGCATGGTATGCTTAAATGTATTTTTGGAAGTATGACGAAAAATGCTTTTCTTATTAATCTGTATGCAATACTAATTCTGATTGGCTGTCAGCAAAAAAAACACGACGGATAATATTTGTACTAATCTCAACTTGAACAAATCATTAATTTTTCTCGTATCGTCTCAAAATGTGTCCCATTTCGGAATCATTTCTCTTCATCCATCGATTACCTTGATGTTTACCATCATGCAAGAAAAAAAAACAAGCGATCTGCTACCCCATTGTGTTGTGTACTCAGCACTGCTCCTATATTTTTATCTCGATTTATGACTAAAAAAAGGAAAAGAAGAGGTGTAGATCAATCAGTTCAAATTTTATCCGAAGCTGGATTTTAAATATTGTTTCCGATGGTTACTAATATCAGACCTGTGCCAAAGGGTGTGACACGATAAAAAAATACCCAAGTAAAATAAATCACTTTCTTCAAATCAAGATAGAAATATATCTGCTGTCGAGTTTTGTTACTACTACGAATAAAAAGTTGTCGTTATACACATTTATATCGAAAACGTTTAGTAATAGTTTCAAAAATAGGTAAAATTGTATCATGCACACGCTGCGTGATTCCTAGGCGTGTCCAATCTACGGGCATGAACATTGAAAAGAAAATCTAATCAATTTTATTGCATTAAATTCATCATATTTAATAAGAATTTTTCTTCAATGATCATTTGCGTCGATTTTTTTCTACGCCAGAAGACAAAAGTAGTTGATGACCCCAAAGTACCCTACTTTTTCGTTCTGTCTCGATTTGATAAAGAAAAGACAAAGAAGAAAGGCGTCACTATTATTTTTCTTACTCTATTCTCCTTACAAATAGCACATCTAATTTCAAAATGGCAAATAAATAAACCAAAAAAAAGAATATTCTTTGGTTTTTTCTCTTTCTGTTCTTGTCAGTTACTCCAATAGACGCATTGATCTCCCATATATATATATATATATATATATATATTAGCAGATAATAATACACAATTGACCTAAAAAAACATATTCTTCAAAGATAGGTATCCTGTATTTTAAGACAGCTCATCAAACAAACGTGCAATACATTGTTTTTATTCATATTTTCTCGGTAAGAATAGATTTTGTTCAGTTTCAAGGTCATATTATGTCGATATGCAAAGATAGATTGGCAAAATGAAGCAGCATTGGGTTGATCTGTTATGTTTCTCTTTTTTACACAAAAACGATAGTTTAGTTGGGAAGATAGAAGTATGTTACTTTATTTCTGCTTTGATGAACAATCGTATGAAACAAGGAGTAGAGTAAGTTAGATAAACAGCCAGCGAATAAACTATTCACCACATTGGCCAAGTGTTACTTAATTAATCTAAATAAAAATATATCACATGTACAATACTTCCTTTCAATAACCTTCAAATATCTATAAACAAAAGAAAGAGGCATTGGGTACTATTGGTGTCTACCTGGAACGCTATGGCCTTGCAGAAAGAAAAAAATAGGCATTATGAGCATAAATAAAACTTTTCTTTTTCTTTTTCCTATACGATGATAGTATTCGTACTTCTACATCATTACTAAATTTTCATTCGACACCATCAAAAATTGTAATGATGGCTGATATACTTGTTCAACAGCAAACATCATTAACCAAAGCTGAAATTGTTGTACCCATGGAGCACGAAGTCGACAAAGGGTTATTTTTCTATCAACAAGATCCAACTGGCTTCTTACATTTTCTAAAAACATTTACAAATGAACCACAAAGATCTATCTCTCACTCGACATCGAAGAAATTTTTTGATACGAATTCATTGCCATCGTCAAACGAAGAAGAAATGCATAACTTCAATGGTGATGTGCTTAAACCAATCATTAAAGAAGATAAAATAAGGTTTATATTGAAATTGAACAAAAAAATACAATTTTAATAAATTCTATTTCAGTGATAAGTTAGACAGTATCTTAACATCAACGAAATTAGATGAATTAAATGGCGATAGTATATTGAATTCAAATTCATCATTAAATACAGAAGCTCAAGTGCGCAGACGGAAATGGCGTACACCAATAACACGAACATCTGCGTCGAAAAGTGACTCAGTGGAACATAATAATAGTAACCAAGAAGAGAAATTACAAGATCTTAAGGAAATTCTAGAACAAATTTCATTAAATGAAAATAGCGAGAAAACACACGAGTCCAGTGATACAACGATTTCTTCTGGTCGACTACGAGGAAGAAGTAGGAGAGACAAAGAAATTTTTATTTAAACTTGTTAAAATATTCATTATAGGATTAAGATTTCGATCACATCAACACGTATCGCCTATTTCTCAAGAGTCTACATCTGATAATCACACTCAATTTTATACATCGAACGGAATCCAGGATTCCCCGACATCATCGACGACCAATGTGTTCGTATCAATTGATAGTCTAAGTATTTCTACTGGCGTTCTCAGACGAACACATTGTATTGAAAGAACAAAAAAAGTGGTTCGTTTTGCTGATTCAGTTGGTCGTCAATTAGTACAAGTGCAATACTTTCAATCATTTACTGATGATGATGAAGATTCAATGAATTTTCCATTTCTAAACAATAATATGTACGTTCCAAAATCATTAGATTTCGAGCATAAACCATGGACATTTGATGTAGAATTACCCTCAAAACAAACTCCGGATATTCGGGTGCCGAAAAAATTCTTTTGTTTATATCGTCAACCGAACTCCGAACATCCCGATATATATTTACATGAAGTATGGAAATCCCAAATAAAATTAGAATTTGCTAGTATACGTCTCAAATCTTCATTAACTGGCGAACAATATTTATATGGTACGGCATGGGTCACCAATGCTGGTTATCATAAAAATGTTACTCTTCAATATACATTTAGTCGATGGTCGAATAAACATGAATATCAAGCTAAACATCTTTTTCATTCAAATGATTTTCGTAATCTAGATAAATTTGAATTTAATATTGATATTCCAAATGATATTGATCGAGTTGACTTTGTCCTTCATTATCGCGTCAATGGGCAAGAACATTGGGATAATAATGAAGGAAAAAATTATTCATTGGAAACTGAATCTGCCTATTCACCACAAACAACCATATCTTTGCCTCATGATTGTAACTTTGACGAAATGAGATTTTATTAGAGCGCACAAGGTTTAAACACAAACATCGCTACTTGTTTTCTTTTCAGTTTTTCATTTGTAGGATCTATTTTTGTCTTTCATTCTCTTTGACTGGTATTTGTTCGCTTTCTTATCCTTTCGTTCAGTGCTTGAATTTCGTGAATTCTATCACTAGACAAAGACATGCACATTTATAAATTTATATACATTGATTTCTTTTGATTAAGAACTATGATAAAGTGAAAAATTCTACCATAGTAGGGTGTGTGTGAGCATCTATTGTTAGGGAATGAATCAAATTGAGTTACATATAGAGTCAGATATTCTTAGATTTGACTCAGTTTAATTTAGCACTAACAGAATCAACTTTCATCCCGTACTCTGTCATGAATACTTTGAACATTCAACGTGAGAAAAAAATACAGATGACACGTGACTCTATAATATAGAATCTATATTATCATGATGAGATTGTTATCTGAAGTAGATTTAATATTGTAAGGATTACCGTGAATGCTGTTTTTTATAAATCGAAATATACAGCCACGATTATATTGTAAAACCGATATAAATTTGATGCAATAAAGTTTTATTAACGACGATTATTCATGATGACTCATCGGTCTGGGCGTTGAACATCAGAACAAAGGAAGATTTTCACTGTACGAATATTTTCTAGATATTGTGCAGTGTGATAGGATGGTTCTTTATTTACCGTAGAAAAGAACAGTAAGCTTTGATAAGTCTTTTTGCTTTTTATAAAAGTACATCGGTCAAAACGAGATAAAAGTAATTATATCTGCAAACATCTTGAGAAAACGTGGCAGACTTTTCTTTATAAAAATCTAAGGCTTCGATGGAAACTCAACAAAGTATATGTGCGCAAACAAAATTTAGAAAATTGTCTAAGACTGGGCTCGATTTTTACCACGTGGGTGATCGAAAAGCGCTATTAAATTGAAAAGAACTCTCATATTTTCTCAAGCTTTCATCTATTTGAAATCATCATCAGACAATGACAATATCTGAAAATAAATATTTATTGAAAATGTATTCAATTACCACTAATTGATACTTTTCGATCGTTTTTTTCTCATGATTCTTTTATTTTATCAAATGACGCAGATCAGGATATCATATTTACAGAACGAAGAAAAACAAATGTTTTTGTCGAACATGGATTTTATCACTTGCACTTTCTAGTTCCCTCGTGTGATGATTTCATTCACAACAGCTCAATCCGAAGAGGATTTATTGAATATTATATCGTTGATGAAAAGCAATCTTCGAAAAAATCTTTCTCTCGATCAGCAGACATCAGGTGGTTTCCTTTCCATTGAGTGTGCATACGATGTTCTTCGAAAAATGAATCAGCCAGCACCGAGTGTCATTGCCACAGACACGACTTCGAACAAATTAGTTGGCTATGCATTGGCAAGCTTACCTGAAATTGCGGTAGAACTGCCAGACATTGCTAAACTTATTTTGTTAATCAACACTCTAGACTACAAAGGTAAACCTCTTCGCGATAACACCTATTACATACTTGGTCAAATATGTGTAGCCGATGGGTATCGAGGGCAAATGGTCTTTGATGGAATGTTACAAAAACATCGCGAGTTGTATAGCGATCGTTATGAAATGATGATTACGTGTATCTCAAATAAGAATGTTCGGTCACTTCGTGCTCATGCTAGAGTCGGTTTCGAAACAATATATACTTTCAATGATTTGCCTGCTGGTGGCATGTGACACGTAGTACTATGGAACTGGTGCAAGTCAAACTCTTCAGATAGTAATACAATAGAAACATCAGGACAGAAATGATCATGAATTTCTTATTCATGATCGGTTTATAAAGTAAATAAGAGCTTTTCCGCTGCGCTATATCGTTTTTCAGAAATAGTTGGTCATAGCAATATTTTTGCAGAAAAGCACAAAGTCACAGATATCACAGACAATGAAATAATACTAATAGCTGGTATTAAATATATGCATACAGCTATGGGTACAGGTAAGTGGAAAAACGATATACTGCAAGACTGCGTTGTTTTCTCCTTATAATAAAAATTTATGTCTATGCTTTCAATCAAGCATTACAACTAAAAGGCAACAGAGTATACCATCGAAGAATCACGATTTTTATTCGTCGTAATGTAAGATAGGCACACGACAAAATCTCTTTCTTTGCTCCGTCCTATTATTTGAACGAGCACAATTTTGCCCACTAACTGTGGTCCCACGCGCTTAATTTGGTTCGATCATGAATCATCTATACTGTCAGCAACATAACTCGATAAAACTAAAGAGAAGTATCGATCTGCATGTGTAAGAACACATATATTCACTTGCGAATAGGGGTGTTACTTTATATTTACATTATGAAATAAAGATAAATAAATCAGATAATTCGAAAAAATAAATATAATACAAATATAAAGTTAGCAATTTTTCTATGAGCGAAAAAGGAACAAATTTCTGGTGTAACAAGAGGGGATGCTAATTGCAATTGCGCAGGTGAATGAAGCCGACAGTGAATGCTGTCGGATCTCATGGGATCCAACAAGCCGACAAAATCCGATCAGATTCCTGAACACGAACCTACTAACGGATCCGACGAAAAAAGCAGTTTCTTAATCACCAATGAATGAGCATATGGTGCCAACAGAACACATGGGTCGAATGTTTATGTTGGATTACATTAAATTCCGACAATGGAATCTATCGGATTCCAACACTAGGGTTTCAATTGTCGGTCCCACACCCGGATACTGACAGGATTTCGTCGGTTTAATGAAATCCATACTATATCCGATAAGATTCCGACATGAATCCGATAGGATCCCACTGTCGGAATCATTCACTTGGGTGTATGGTACGAAATATTTTCGTCGATTACAAATTCAATGTATAGAATGAGGAGATTAAAAATGACTACAAGCTAATTATGTTGTTCTTTTTTTTGTAATAATCTTATATAATTCAAGTTAGTTCACTTATTGGGGACGAAATCGAAATCAACTGATGCTGCTTATTCTTTTCCACCCACCGTCATTCTTATGTTTAAAGAAAGACATGAATTAAATTAGTTTCCGCTTCTTAATGTGAGGGAAATGTTGAACTTTGTTCCAGGTGTACACAATAAGTAATTGATCTCGGACAATTTTTAAAAGCACTATTATAACTGTTTCTCGATGAAGACATTAGTTAAATTGCCCAGCTCACCGTTTTAGTAAATGGTTTTTCAATGTTCGTGCTAAAAACGTACTGACAATAACTGATTAACTGTTAGATTTATATCTTTGCTTCATTTATCGATAAATTGTAAATAGAAATTGTGATTCCTTCCAGAATGGGCCCTAGCGATAGAATAGTATGAGTTCATCAGAAAATAAATAAAACTCATGTATATATATATATTTGAATATTTGAATATTATATTCTCTTTATGATTAGTTATTATTCGTTGTATATATATATTAGAAAACGACTTTAGTCTATATGAACAATCTCTCTAGATTGCCATGGTTTGTAATTTTACTTCTATATGCAATTACGATTCAGAATATCAGCTACCTTACCTTTTAAGATAAAATTCTATTTATTTATCATCTTTTTCGTTCAGATTCAGCTAAGGAGTTGTAATTAAAATAGCTATTGACTTTCAAAGTCTTTTCGAAATAGAAAAATAACAGAAGCATTGTCGATTTTCTTGAAAGTACGAAAAACAAAAAAGAAATAGAAATTTACTTGACTCGAAAAACAAAAACTGACAATCAGAACTTTTCCAAAGGAATGCGATAATACTACTACTGTTCACTGTAAAAAATAATGTATGTAGCAGTGTCTGCTCTAAAAACCTGTTCAATTTCAACGTAAAACTGTATTCGTCATAAAGCGATCTTCATCTCCTAAAGGAACAGTAATTTATTTGGATTCAAAGGAGCCTTTAATGACATCGCAAGCTGATGTTAGATAAAAAAATCGATCTGAAAATGAATTGAAGATACTGCACAATAATTTCGTTACTATTCATTTACTAAGGCTCCACTGATTTGATTAGATTAAAGACCTCTGTTTTGTGCACGAAATATATTTTTTAGCAGCGCTTTTTGAATGAACTTGTTCGAATTAACCTGTGTTCTGTGATGTTGTATCAGGTATTTGTTTCTTTGTCGCTCATAGAAAACTTGTTAACTTTATATTTATATTATATTTATTTTTTCGAATTATCTGATTTATTTATCTTTTTTTTTGTAAACATACATATTTCATATATCGTTACTTTATAAATATAAAGAATTTATCTATCTTTATTTTTTAAATATAAATAAGATATTTATCTTTATTTTACAAATATGAACATTTTATTTATATTTACTCGTTATTATAAAGATCAATAAATATAAATGAACACCCATAATAGTCAGTCGAATAAATCATTGTGCTGAAATCGATCTAGTTCACGATGATCAGACATTTACTAAATGGTTTTTATGAATAGCATCATTTTTCTTTGCCAATGCACTCTGATTCAACTTAGCACGTATTTCTGTATCACTATGCATGGACATAACTAAATTAGTCTCAACTTTGATATTCGACAACTATGAAAATGCAACTAGTCTTATTTTTCTCATGTAAAATTGATTCTGGATTAATAGATATTCGTACATATTATCGTTTGCTTGATCGATGGTATTAGACTTGCAATTTGTTTTGGTTCAGTAATATCATTTCTTGAAATCGTATTTCGAAATTGTTCACTTCTCTTATTTAATATATTTTACATAATTATTGGATCATTATACAGAGTTCGAACAATAAAATAAAATTTGAAAAAGTTTCATGGATATTCTAAGCATTCATATTCATCTTGGCAATCAAAAATAGGTAAGGACTTCGAACAGTAAGTCACCTATGTTTTCACTGCTGCCATACTATCAGATCCCACTTGTAACGGTATTTACCGTTACGGCTCACTTTATGTACTTTATCCTCTTCGCTGTATCCTATGTTTGTGCATTGACCTGATGAACTCTCATTGTTCTATTGCGTGACCGTTCCCTCTTTGTCTATATCCGTCCAAGTGTGATCGCTCTCGCGTATATAAGGGAATGTAACTAAAGGAAATGCACGACTAGAGATGTGCAGATGACACAATACACCATCATGCCGACGGGCATAGACGACACTCTCTATGTTCGTCACACCACTACTCACTGAAACAATCTTATAGTCACCTTTTGATTTTTCTATCGCAAAAAAACGCAGCCACACTACTGGCCAGTAATCATCAATGTAAAATACGGTATCTTGAAGGTACAGTTATGAGGTGCATATAGAATAGGTATCCTGAGCTTATCAGGATTCGAGATGACTTCTAATGAATATTAAATTAGTTTCATATGCAAAAGTGAGATGTAGTCACTCAAACAATACTGTGAAATAATCATAGAGCATTCTATGTTTACGGGACCATTTAACTCTTAATTTTTAATAGGAAAGTATCCTGTGAGAGGAGGTGCACGCGCTTTTTTGTATTCAATTCCTTGTTTTATACTATAAGTGTTAAATCAATCTTATAATTGCGAATCGAATCGCTGCTTACATTATCAGATGCTGGTTTCATTCTCTCCACCTGAATTAGAATTCTTTTAAGACTACGCATACTGCATGCCTAATCAGTCTTTGAATAAAAACAACGACTAGCATTACGGGACTGAAAAATTGATTACTTTTTCTAGTAAAAAATTGCCGAATTCTTCTATAGTGCACAGGCAAGAAAATTGGTTTTGTGAAACTTCTGAGCATCTGCGCAGAAAAAAACTTACATAGCATGCTTTTATGCCTTCTATAATCAAATCTTATACATTCACCGGCATGTTAAAATTAGGCTGCGAAGCAATACAAATTGTTTTCTTGGCGACATGAAATAACATCATACCGGATTGTTTCAAACAATTATACATAGGGGTGAGAATTTATTGTTATTGTTATTAATAACAATAACTTTTTTGTTATTGTTATTAGTAACAATAACTTTTTTTGTTATTGTTATTGATAACAATAACTTTTTTGTTATTTGTTATAAATAACAGATAAATAACAAATAACTTTTTTTTTGAAAAAGATCTTGTCTCATCTCGCTGTATATTTTAATTACATCCGTTATGTGAGCTTATGCTTTAGAACAAATTTTTGACTTCTATAGTGCCAATTCGCATGGTATACCCATATAAACAATGAACTGAGTTTTGAGGAAAAAAAGTTATTTCTTATTTATTTGTTATTTATAACAAATAACTATCGAAAAAAAGTTATTGTTATTAATAACAACAAGATAACAATAACTTCGCACCCCTAATTTATACATATATAAGAATAAGACAGAAACTATTGAAACAATACTATTCTGTTTCGCAATCATTTGTTAAAATTTTTCAATTCGAAGCTACATTATGGTAAGCATCAGCATGAATTTGTTACTGTTACTTAAAAATTCCTCACGTGCTCAACTTTGTTGAATATGTGTAGGATCTAAATGAAGTTCATCCGTACGTGAAAACGCCACAAAACTCGGGGTATCCTTTACAACTCGCACCTAGAATTTGGTCAGAGCCTCCTTCCAATCAAATGTCGCGGTTAAGTAATTGGAATACAGATTCAAGTTATCCATTGAATTCCCAATCGAACATGATGGGTCAACCACTATACAGACCAGTAGATAAAAATCAATTGGCCCGAATGCATGCATGGGAGGATTCAACTATGGGTAAACCTAATGAAATAAATAAGCCCACAAATGAAAACTCAGCTTTGACGTAAGTCATCTTCTTTTACAAGTTGGTGGGTAGTGATTGAAGTCAAAGTTGCCATTGTCCGCATCTCATAAACTCTGGTCAGACGCGAGTCTTCATGTGCCTGTCATTGGTTAACTAAGAAAACTCACTTTATGCATAGATTATTAGCTTGAAATTGCTCCTACCGACGTGCTCTAAAAAACATTAAATTTTGTGAAGTCTACAGATTTATTTAAAAGAAAACTGCTGATTTTAAGTTTTAACCGGAACTTTTTAATACTTCATTTAGCTGTCAAAACTTACTGGCAAAAGTGACTTCATCAAAAATGCTTTTCTTAATGACTGGATTTATTGTGTGTGGCATACCAGTAGCTGTTTTTTTAACGCTCTGGTAAGAACAAAATATCACATTTTTTTTTCTAATTATTTTCGCGTTCATTTCCTAGGGCGAGCAGCCGCTCAACACCGACAACAACAACAAAAAGTTCGACTGTAACAACTGCAACAGTTTCAGGTACCAATAGCAACTCTCTTTTTGCTTCACACACCATCGTCGTACTCGTGCCAGAATTTTTTACAAGGAAAGCTAAGAATTTTAGGGAACCGAAATAAAATATAATATTATTACTTCTACATAGGGGTGGGCCATTAACATTAATTTTATATTAATGTTAATGTTTCTCATTAACCATTAATATTAATGCTTAATGTTTTCTAAGAAAAACTTAATTCATTAATATTAATGATTAATGAAAAAAGTTAACATTAATTTTAAAATTAATGTTTTCATTAATCATTAATATTAATGTCAATGTTCTTAAATGATATTAACGGTTAACGGAAACATTCACCATTAGTATGAATAGCAATGTTTTCGTTAATATTATGGATTATACTTTCATTAATCATTAATATTAATGTT